ATTGATATTATCTAGGAGAAGGGAATATTACTCCTGAACAAGTATAGTATCCTAAGATTGATATTATCTAGGAGAAGAGCATAAATAAAATACTGAATATTTTTAAATCGAAAAAAAATTTATTTGAATTAATTTTCAAGTAAAATGTCCTTAAAATTGTTCACCTTTTTTACGCACATTTTCAGATATTCCTGGTGTAGAATAACGCAAATAATTCCATGTTTATTAATTTCAGTCTTTTTTGTTAATTATAGTGGAAACCTTCGAATTTTTCTGGGTGGTTCCATGGGAAAAAGACAGGCAGAGGTTTGCCAAATATTTTGCTATTTATTTTATCTCGCGAAGGTTGTCATTACGGAGGCAGAAAAGTTTAAAGTCTTACCTAAATAAAGTTTGACATTATACTTATGGGTTTGAAGATCCCAACATGATGTTATAACCATTGCAATTTACTTTAGTCTTTTCATATTTTTTGCCCTAAAGTGACCAGATTTAAAAAAAATAGTTTTATCTTTGAGAATTGGATAATTTAAAACACATAATTATCGAAGAACGAGGATTCCGAGGTGGCTCGAACTAGGAAATGAGGAAAATGTGGCGCGGACGAGAAATTGTTGTGGCTAACCTTCCTTCCCAACCTCTGGACAAATTGCTCGATGTACTGTGATATATTAAGGTTACGCAATACGCTCTGAACTTTTGTACAGTAAACCAAAACCAGTTTCGAGTTACATTTTTGCTTCGTTTCGTCAACGTGGTATACGAATTTTTTCGTAGCGAATTGAATAACTTACAGATTTGTTAATTTAGATTTATGGCAAATATTTTTAAGTGATAGGTGAGAGATAGCTGATTTTAGAGTGTTTAAAGAGTGGTTGTGAGTTTTTAATTTTATAGGGATGGCCGGGGGGATCCGAGGGGGCGGGGGGTCGTGGAAGCTAAGAAATTACCTTTAAGTTAAATCTTAAATTTCATGGCCACCTTCTGTAATGACGAGTTCTTAATCATCATATTCTAGGAATTCCGCATGGTTTTGCCAATTACCCAAGATTTTGCCAATTACTCTCTGATAAAGCTTATATATGTGATGCGTATATGGTATGAAATTTAACAATATGACGTAAATGTCTGGGTTTTAGCATGACCATTTTATTTAAAAGGATTTCAATTTGTCACTGTTATTCAAATCTTAACTATGCATGTTAATATATTATGGGTAATTTCCTAGTATACGATTTATGGCCCCCCCCAGGCCCCCCCCCCTCCTATCAATTTTGTACATGGGTGTGACAGGAAGTTTCTTAACTTAACCTAACCCGTGGCCGCAGCGCTCGGCCCCCTAGCCCATCCTAGCCGCAGCGCTAGGCCCAGAAAGTGTTTTAACTAACCTAACCCGTGGCCGCAGCGCTCGGCCCAGAAAGTATCCTAACCTAACCTAACCCTAAACAACAAAAAAATAAATAATAATAAATTTGCTGAAAAATAATTGGTCATGTACAAAATTGATAGGAGGGGGGGGGGGCTGGGGAGGGGGTCCAAAAATCGTATTCTAGGACAGACCCTATATTATGTTATCTATTGGAGTAATTTCGGGTCTGTCCTAGAGAACGATTTTTTGACCCCCCCCTTCTAAATATTGTACATGCATCTCATATTTAACACATGGATAAAGGTGGTCATGTGGCCGCAGCGCCCAGCCTGTCTTAGCGCAGCGCTCGGCCCCCTAGCCTGCCCCAGAAAGGGTCTCAACCTAACCCGAAATAAACACTAATTTTGTTGAAAATTGTTGAAATTGATGGTCTGTCCTGGCCGCAGTCACAGACCCCGGTCCAGAAATTGTCCAAACCTAACCATGAAATAATACAAAACAATTATTTGTTTCTTTGAAAATAGTGGAAATCTATGTCATGTATAATTTGATAGGAGGGGGGCCTGGGGTTTTAAAAAATCGTATTCTAGGACGGACTCATTTATTGCTTCATTTGAAAATATATGAGAACTTTAAGAAAACGTACTATGAAAATTAATGTTTTAATCTCTACAAATTATGACATTATTATTTTATTCGTTTTAATGAATTTTTCAGAAAATTATAAACATAAGAATGGAGAAGATTCAAGAGAGGAAGCGTAAAGTTCCTCTGAAGCTCGATGCTGAGTCTCTGGTGGAATTGGGGAAAGAAATATGGAAAGTCATATTGTTATCAATGATTAAAGCACAAAGTTGTACTTTTTTCGTTTTCTGTTTTTTTTTGCATCAACATTTGCACCAGTAAATTGTTAAATGTGTCATATGTGATGCAGCCTCAAGCGCGATATTATCTAGAAGATCTTGTTACTTCCGTAGTACATACTAGATTAATATTATCTAGAAGAAAATATTACTTCTGTACAAGTATACTAAGATTAATATTATCTAGAAGAGAATATTACTCCTGTACAAGTATACAAAGATTGATATTATCTAGGAGAAGAGAATATTACTCCTGTACCAAGTATACAAAGATTGACATTATCTAGGAGAAGGGAATATTACTCCTGAACAAGTATAGTATCCTAAGATTGATATTATCTAGGAGAAGGGAATATTACTCCTGAACAAGTATAGTATCCTAAGATTGATATTATCTAGGAGAAGGGAATATTACTCCTGAACAAGTATAGTATCCTAAGATTGATATTATCTAGGAGAAGGGAATATTACTCCTGAACAAGTATAGTATCCTAAGATTGATATTATCTAGGAGAAGGGAATATTACTCCTGAACAAGTATAGTATCCTAAGATTGATATTATCTAGGAGAAGGGAATATTACTCCTGAACAAGTATAGTATCCTAAGATTGATATTTATCTGAATATCTGAACGGATCACAAGGTTGAGCTTAAGACATTGCAACATGACATCTTGTATATTTTGTAACAAAATGATTTTATCAGGAACATAGTGAGGATGTTTCAGGTAAATATTATTTATATTTAACCGAGTATTTACAGTGCTTGGATAATAATCAAAAAGATAAATATTCCAGGAACCAACAAAGCTTTGCTTACAAATGAAGTGTACTCTAAACAAACTTCAGCTTTTGGATATATTGTTGAAAGTGGTTTCTAAATCCTGATTTATTTAATTATAAAGGGTGTCCCACATCATATTGGATCGTGTTACAGCTTTAAATTGAGATTTCCGGGACCAATCAGAAAATCTGATTCTGAAAAGAACGAATCCTTTTTAAAAAAAATGTATATTGCAAATATAAAGATTTGCATACTAAGTGATTTTAGTATTATGTGCGTATATTGTTGTCAAAGCTTGGAGATAATCTTATGATCGATATGGGAGGCTCTTTTTTATTATTATTTTATTATTACTTAAAATCTTCTTAGAAAGTTTTTTTTTCTTTTTTACTCTGAAGGAATTGTATGCGCGGTTTTAAAAAGAAGCGCGCATACTCGATGAACTAAAATTTAAATTCCGAGTTTTTCAGGAAGGGTTAATTTCTAAGGCGCTGGCTTCACTAATTGAATCACACATAGGTAGGCACTTCTAAAAGATCTCTTTATTATCCTTGACATTAAATGTTTAGCTAATTTTATCCAGGGAAACTGTTCTTAGAATCCTGTTTTAAATTATGATGCGGATCCGGGATCCGTCAGTAAAAAAAATGGATCTTGATCCAGTTCATGAATTATTTTAATATTTTGCTAATTTTTTTTAAGAAACACAAATTTATAAATATTTCTCAGGTGTTTTCGGAAATTTGATACACCCTTTATAAATATGTTCAATGAGTCGTCATTTATGTTTTGTTGGCAAAAAAATGTGCGTTTAAGGAGCAAAAATAAATATTTCTACAATGTTTTGGTTGAAATTTTTGCTACTTGTATCCGGATCCTTGGATCCACAAATCTTGGCGGATTAGTATCAGTGGATATTATGCATATCTTTGCGGATCTGGACCAAGGGAACTAAAATGTTGCAGTCCCAAGGGATGTGGATCATAAGCACTATAATAAACTTTGCCTTTTTTTTAGAGTCTGTTAGTATTACTCCAGGGCAGATCAGTAGCATTGTCACCAGGCTGAAGGATATGTTCATAACTACTAAACTTATGTCAGGTAGGTGAATCTAAACTTATGCCAGGTAGGTGAATCTAAGCTTATGTCAGGTAGGTGAATCTAAACTTATGTCAGGTAGGTGAATCTAAACTTATGTCAGGTAGGAGAATCTAAACTTATGTCAGGAAGGTGAATCTAAACTTATGTCAGGTAGGTGAATCTAAACTTATGTCATGTAGGTGAATCTAAACTTATGTCAGGTAGGTGAATCTAAACTTATGTCAAGTAGGTATAAACCTTAACATATTCCAGGATGGTTCATGGCTATTCAACATGTTTAACTTCAATTACTATATTTTAGGCGATATTCTGATTCAGTGCGTCAAGGATCCCAATAAAGCTCATTTGGACAGGTTTTTTTAATTATAACAAACTTTCTAAAAGACTTTAAAGAAATTGTATCTTATTAAATTTCGGCAAATATCTCATTTTCCGTGATTTCTAATATTTTAGATTTGAAAAGAAGATTGATAGAAGAACAAGGAGAGTTCTAGAACTTGACATCAACAGGTCCAAAAAAATATAAGAAAAAAAAGATTCAATATAATTTTTCAATATTTATAATTGAATTTTACAAGCTATATTTGAATACAGTCCTTTTTCTCAAGACCAAAGAATGTGATAGATATCTATTTATGTGTCAATTTTTTTAAAACAATGTCTTCTCTAGATTCTCTGAAAGTTTCGCCGTTTTTACGAAGATTTAAGGACCTTCTCAGAATAATTTTCATGGATTATATTTTGTGATCAATAAACTCCGATTTTTTGTAAAACATATTTTTAAACCCTCTGTGAAAATATATTTTTTCCTCTTTAAAATACATCTAGAAAATGCTTTACCCCTGAAAACTCATCATTTTTTGTTATATAAATCTATATTTTGTACAATATTTGTTTGGTCAAGGGCCCAGTAGCAGGAACCAGTATACTAGACACATATTTGTTTGTTCCAGGGCCCTGTATCAGGAACTAGTATACTTGACACATATTTGTTTGTTCCAGGACCCTGTATCAGGAACTAGTATACTTGACACATATTTGTTTCTTCAAGGGCCTTGTATCAGGAACTAGTATACTTGACACATATTTGTTTGTTCAAGGCCCAGTATCAGGAACTAGTATACTTGACACATATTTGTTTGTTCAAGGCCCAGTATCAGGAACTAGTATACTTGACACATATTTGTTTGTTCAGGGCCCAGTATCAAGAACTAGTACTTGACACAATTGTGAAGAGGCTTCCAGACGTTTTAGTTGCAAAGGCAAATATTTATTCAAGATTTTTAAAATATAAATTTAAAATGCCTTTATTTATGTTTTATTAAAACTTAATTTTATTAGATCCAAGAACTTTTGATGGAAAACGAGGATGGTTTGGACTTCTTTACACTAAGGGAAATGTACCATAGAAGGTAACACAACAATATATTTAACTACTTTTCTGTATAAACAAAGACAAAATCTCTAGAAAACTATACAAATTATTAGTTTTATCGATGAAAAGTGATTGAGCAACGTGTTTTTGCTCATCGGGCCTAAGAGGATAACGTAGAGAACAAATATGGTTTTTAACGATCCTTAAAAAGGGACTGTCTACATAGTTCTAAGAGACCCTCCATTTACAGAGTGCCACAATGGTAAGGACGTATTGAATATCTTTGTTTTTCTCTTTGATAATTTCCAATTGCAGTTTCTCTGTAAAAGCAACTTGCGTGTTTCTGCAGTTGAGACAAAGAAAGAAAATGTTAGATTTAATATCTTGCAGATAAGAGTAAAGGTTTTAAAGGTACGGACATGGAGGTTCTCTTGAAACTACTCTTAAAGTCTCTCTAAATGACTATAAATTGATTAAGGTTTGAGTACCAGTTAAATCCTAGAGACTACGGGTATGAGACGTTTAGAGCTCTTGTAACAGACCTAGTCTTTGCTCAACAACAGGAAGGTGAGACAATTATTCATTTTCTAGAGGACGGATTCATCTTCATGATCCGTATCCATGTTCTACAGGACGGATTCATCTTCAAGATCCGTGTCCATGTTCTACAGGACAGATTTATCTTCATTATCCGTATCTAATTTCTACAGGACGGATTCATGTTCAAGATCCGTGTCCATGTTCTACAGGACGAATTTATCTTCAAGATCCGTATCCATTTTCTACAGGATGGATTCATGTCCAGGATTCGTGTCAAAATGCACTGATCTTTGTTTTCTCTAGAGATCGAGTTAACTTTTGGAGAAGATAATCGCTGCTATCTCCGTCCTGCTGGTAAACTGAGAAAGGTGATGGTTACATTGGATAAATTTGTCTGGCTGGAGTTTCAAAATGTCAAGAAAGCTTATCTCTTCAGGCTCAATTTTATTTTGATTGTAAAAAAGGTTGAAATTCCATTTATAAAATACTATTTTATACTTAATTTGGAAAACATTGTAATGATCGATCATTTTCCTGAATGTTATTCTATGTCATCTATCTTGTGGGGGCAAGATGACACTCAGGGCTGTATAGATACTTGCTAAGATTTTTAAAAATTGAAGCAAATATGGTGCGACAAAAAGTTTATATTTTCAGTTTTGACCCCTAACTAACTAAGAAGTCATTTCGCGATAAAACTCTTACATTTTAATTTAATGTTTGGTATAATTCTATAGAATAATTTGTTGAAGGATTACTTGAAGAAAGATTGCAAGGGGTTTAGCAAGGTCTCTCTTCTAAGACTAGTTATCGACCGACCTACTCAGAACCGGATTGAGCAGGTTTGAATTAATATAAAATAATTCTTTTAGTGCTCTTGAAATAATATAACCAATAATAATAATATAACTATTGATTATCATTTTCATCAATATAAATCCAGAGTTAAAGGGACTGTAAGTGCTATTTCAAGTGATCTTCCATTCAATGATGGCATATTGTCCACGTCCAGTTTACAACGGTATCATTATCATTAGTGGTTTCTCTTCAAAAGTGACTTGCACATTTAAAGGGACCGTTCACTTGGGTAATTTCATGGTAAACTTAACAGCCTATTAACTTGGCAAATATACAGAGTTTTAAAACTATCTGAATAAAGTTTGTAATTTCTAAGGGTTTTACTGTTCGCCCCATGATCTACACTTCCCCAACCTATGCCCCTCAATCAATTGTCTAATTTATTTTCAACTACCCGTAACCCAATTATGTTTTATTTAAATCCATATGCGCACATCTTTCATACCTCGTTCTATATATCTTATTAGAGAAGCAATACAAAATAGATCCTAATGTTTAATTTACATTTGTTTTTTTTAATCAATGACATAGACAAAAAACATCAAATAGTGCCTAGACATAGGTACCGTACCTAAGCTAAAATTCTGATTTCGATTTCTCTGGCCACAGCTAATAGGCTGTTTAGTTTACCATGAAATTATCCAAAGAAGTGAACGGTTCCTTACACAAAATTGATCAGATAAATATTTCAAGGGCACCTGGTATTGGCACTGAAATTGCGTTTACATTCTTGGATATTCTTGCATACAAAAAAATATTTTAGTCTGAAGCCTATTTTTGATTTCATAGGAACTTTCAAAATTATAGCATCATGGGGCTGATAACAAACTTTTTTTCTTCTGTATCCTAATCAAATTGAATTTTTTCTTATTCAAGTAACCTCTCAAATATATTCTTATAATATTGTTCTCGTGTAATCTTTTTTTCAACTGACATAATCCACTTAAAAAAATAGCCAAAAAATCATTGTTTTAATGTGAAGTTTTCTAGATACTAATTAAGTTTTATTAGCAAAGTGTGGGGTTTTTTTTGTCAGTTATTAATTCAATTTAAGTAAGTATTTGTTAGCAACTTTTATCTTGTAATTCAGGTTTTGTTGAATAACACTGATATACATTTCCGCACTCTGGGTAGTGTATACAGTGAGCTGTACAAGAAACCTTTGGATCCTAAGAAGTAATTACTTATATTAAATATTTATCATTATGAGTTATAAATTACAAGTTAATGAGCTAGTTTTTAGCCACACAATCCTTGATAACACAAATGAAACTCTGGTATACCCATGTTAATTGCAGATATATGTACATTTCAATTTTCACAAGATCATGGGAAAAAAATATGAACTACATATGATGAGATTAAATAACATAATAAACTCGATACCAACTATCCCGTGTAAACCAAGCCTGTACCTTACCTACTGACCTTTTTAACTTTTCTAGCTCACAACAAGATTGAGAATACTTTTTTAAGTTAATATGCAAATATATTTTGGCTAAATAAATGTTATGCCTCAAAACATCCTGTGTTACCCCTCCAATTATTGTTTCCCTTTTCCCATTTGGGCTAAATGTCTAATTTGGTTTAAAAAAGTCGCACCTCATAATACATCTGGATCAAATATCAAATATGTTTTCAGCTGTGAGAAAATTTCCCCTTCACTCTTTCTACATTTGCATGTGTGTGCATGTCTTTTTTGAGTGTTTGTTAAATTTACAAGCTGTTGACTTAAAACTTAAATCAAAATCAAATATTTGACCTATAGCTTCAACTACAGGAGATTTCTAGGCGTCTCAGTGTTTTCCGTAAAATTAAAAAAGTGAGAAATTTAAGATTCGATTTTCTTAGTTAAAGTTTCTTATTTAGAGGTGAAGTTTTGGGTTTAAAAACAATTTTACTTGTTTAAGATATAATAATTTCATTAAGAAAATGCACTGAATTTTCTCTCAGAAATTTTGAAATATCTTTTAAGGCTCTGATTTATAAACATATTAAGCTACTGCTAGCTCTGAGGTAAAATGTGTGCACTTAAAAAGGGAAACATTTTAGAAAGAGATCTGGTTGAGGGACACAGGTGGAGGCGCTAATCAATGACATGCTTTCATTTGAATGACATCTAAATACTAAAAATTCAAATTGATGTATATAGACTAGCTGTTTGTTTAAATTCAAAATGCTAACTTTAATTAAACAAAAAGAGACTATATTTAAGTTAGATTAAACATTTTTAAAAGTCAACAATTGGCCAGCAAGCTGTCAGCTAGCAGCTGCAGCTGCTAAAAACAGACACCCTATGACAAACAAATTCAAAAATTTGGCTTGAAACCCGATCCTTTCCCTTTCGAGGTATGACTAGATTGTTAACCAGACGGGTTTTGCACTTCAGAGTTATTAACTTAAAGTTTACTAATTCTGCATAATTTAAGCTAGCCTTGGGCCAGAAAATGTCTGACTTGGGGTTTTTACGGAATATTAAAGATATTGTTTGGCTAGACCATGAGAAGCAAAAAATCAAATCTAAGTCTACTAGAGAATTACCCAACCAAAGTCTACTAGAGAATTACCCAACCAAAGTCTACTAGAGAATTACCCAACCACTGTATTTTAAAAAGCCTATTTTTAAATAGAATGGCCCCCAACAACTGGTGGGTATGCTAATGTGGCGGCATGGTTAAAATTTGGTCGTGTGCTATGATCTTTACCAAGCTGAAGTGATAACTTTATTGAACAGAATTCTGTATTTTTTCTAAAAAACATTCCCGAAGTATCTCAAACCTGCCTTTAAATAAATCTAATTATTGGTAGAGATCCGGCTGAAACCCCCTAATGTGAGCAAGACTTGAAACTCAAACCCTCATTTAGGAGCCTTAAGCCATATCCCTGCTAAATGAGGTTTGGTTTGATATGATTATAAACAGTGCTTCGGTTCTGGATCCAAGTGGTATAATATCAAACAAAAAATCAAGAGCGAAAGCGTTTGCTCTCAAACACACAATTTAAGTTTCAATTAATGAGGCACCACCAAAGCCTTCCTATTCTGGGAATTGTTTCATGTTTCTACACAGAAACAAAGAAATGTTGGTCAAACTCAAATCCGGATCCATTTTATATATTACTAATCCTAGATCAGGATCCATATCTAAGGTGAAAAAAGAAACGATTTTAAATATTTTATTTCACATGGGTTTCAGCTTAGCTTTTTAAATTAGTTTTTAAATTATTTAGAAAAATAATTTAAATTTTGATTCCTTAAAAGGACTGTAAGGGTAATTTCAAGTGACCCTAGGCCTCCACATTATTGATCATATTGAGGTTTCGAAGGTACCATTGTGAACCAGGCATTGCCATCTTTGCATGGAGGGATACTTAAAATTATGTTTACAGTCACTTTAAACATTAAATTTTTGTTTTAATCCTCTGTGGTTCTAAAATGCACATTAAATTCTAGGTTTTACTGCTTCTCGATGGATGAACTCGTGTTATTCAATTCTCATTTTCTAAAAGTTAAAAAGTAAGTACCAAAACTTTACAAGTTTCTCAAATTATAAAACGTTAAAGTTTCAATGTTAATAATTTTCTGTGAATAATTCTACAGCCGGTCAAGTCGATTTTTTATGTAAACATAATTTGCAACCATTTCAAGAGTTATTTGAAACATTTTTTAGGGTTCGTTGCTAATTCCTCTGAAATTTTTTTCTTTTTTGAAAACAGTCCCAATTAAACTTTACACTGATGTGAAATTGTCAATTATATATAAAAAGTTTCCGTGAAAAATTAAGTTTAATTTATTAGACTTGCTCTTGAAATTAAAGTTAAAGAGTTAAGGTTGCCTGTTTCTAACTAATTTTATTCATGATTCTTTATTCTGAAAAAATTCCAAAAACATTGTTTGGCATATTAGTAAAACTTCTTTATTTGTAACTCAAAATAGCATTAGTCAAAATATATATATATATATATATATATACCACAGTTTTTTATTGTTACCTAAGATAAGAAATTGTTCATTGTACAATTGTTTTTAATTTATCACAAAAATTGTAAGATCAGCCTTTATAATTACAAAAGTGTGTCAAATGATGATTATTAAAGCATAAAACTATGCCACTAAATTAAATTAATAAATGTTACGAAGTAAACATTTTGTTTAAAAATATTTCCTTTAGTGGTATTGTAACACTGCAGAAACCAAGTTCCAATGCTGTTCTGAAATCGGCAACTGTTGGTAAACCCAGTCTACCAGCTCCAACAATCCCCATCTCATCTGAACTGCAAAAGGTTAGAGTTGACCTTCTTGTTTTGTTATTAAATATTTTTGAAAATTATTAACCTAATATCATTATAAACTTTTATTTTTACCACAAAGTAGACGCCGTTTTTAAAACATTTAAATTTACATTTTTGAATTCCCCCCCAGNGCGAGATAGAGAATATTTCTGTTTACCAGGATGTTGTTGGATTCCACGAGATAGAAGAGATGGAGATATCGCATCTCAAGGAAAATACTTGGGTCAACATGAAGATCACCCACGTTATCAACCCAGATTTGTAAGTTGCATTATTTACTTTAATTCCAAAGAATCGCAAATCTTTACTCGCCTCAAGTTACAATTTTTTAATCTTAACCCGACTAGACCCGAGATCGTTCTTTTCTTCTTGGAGAGATAGAGAAGAGCGCACATCTTTCTTAAGCAAACCTCGTTTAAATGTTACGATTTCAACTCGTTATTCGCCGCACCTCATATTTTGTCTGGGTATCAAATTCACATCCCCCCATGTAGTTAAGTTTCAGGTTTCTCACGGTATTGAAGTTAGCAGCTTGGAACGACAGCTTCGCAGCTTGACAGCAAAATTTGGACCAAAACGGAATAGAGAAAATATATGCGTCAAAAAAGTAGAAAGTAGAGCACCTTTCCTATACCTTTCATGGAGCGCTGTTGCTTGATCAATTTGAGCCATTTAAACATTCATTTCAAACTTTATGGTAATTAACATTTACAAGCATTAAGTAAATGTAGTTATTTTATGCACTTGTCAAGTTTACACTTTAACATTTGTGATCTATTGGATATTTCTATCTTTATATTATAACTTTGAGCATGGGACTATTACAAATGTTACAGTATTGTTAGCGATTTACACATGATACAACACAAATATCTAATTCTATGAAATGTAATTTTGTTTAAAACAATAACAGTTTTATTTTCTGTATATAATTCAATTTTACTTTCAACTCAAGAGACCTCTTGTGGTAATATTTGGAACTGTGCCTATCTCATGAAGTTAAAATATAAATGTATATGGAGGGAGGAAGGGATCTGTCAAAGTTCTGACAGCTAAATGTGGAGGGGGGGGGGAGGAAGTTAAAACAGCTGCAGCAGCTTTTACGAGGCTTAAATTCAAAGTGGGGGGTCAAAATCTCGCCATATGTGTCATTCCCTAGCGAGTCACAAATGCATAAATATCTGCCCTTACCAATTCTTAGCTTATAAGAGGGGTGGGGGCTGGAGGAGGAGCAAAATGAGCTGCGCTAAAACAAAGTTAATTTCGTCCCTGGACCAAAAAGGGAAGGGGGGTAAGGAATATGGGGGGAAATGGGGGTGTCTAATATCGGGTTTTCAACATATTTAAAAAAAATTCCTTTTTAAAATTTTGATAGCGTCGAAATCAACGCATTCGATGGGGTCTGCGTAAAATCTACGATATCTGGTCCAGTCAGGAAATATTTGCAACCGGATGTTATAGACCCTCTATACTTTAACTAAATATTTCAAAGGTTTGCAACATTAGGTTGCCATGATATAAGAATAAGAAAACAGGTTGTATGGATGCTTGAATTTTGTATTCTAAGGTTGTATGGATTCTTGAATTTTGTATTCTAAGGTTGTATGGATGCCTGAATTTTGTATTCTAAGGTTGTATGGATTCTTGAATTTTGTATTCTATGGATGCCTGAATTTTCTATTCTAAGGTTGTATGGATGCCTGAATTATTTTGTATTTATGTTTGTATGGATGCTTGAATGTTGTATTCTATAAGGTTGTATTGATGCTTGAATTTTGTATTCTAAGGTTGTATGGATGCATGAATTTTATATTCTGAGGTTGTATGGATGCTTGAATTTTGTATTCTAAGGTTGTATGGATCATGGATGCATGAATTTTGTATTTATGTTTGTATGGATGCTTGAATTTTGTATTCTAAGTTTGTATGGATGCTTGAATTTTGTATTCGAAGGTGGTAGGGGTGCTTGAATTTTGTATTCTAAGGTTGTATGTATGCTTAAATTATGTATTCTAAGGTTGTATGGATGCCTGAAAGACCTGGAAACAACTATGAAGGGGTTTGAAAGCAATATGAATGAATTCTACTTTGATGGAAGGAACTCCGACAGGTAAGAATGAGGGTAGTATAAAATAATTTGGTGGAAGTGGGGGGGGGGTGGACTTTTCCATCGTAGATGGAGGCAAAGATTCATACTAGGAGCAATAGCCGCACAATTTCATGGTTGCTCATGAAGCTCATGTGTCAAAGCCCCACATCCTGTTAACACTTCTGACTTATACTATTCACTAATTTACTAAAGAAGTAATAGAATATTAATCGTTTTCTTCAACTCATGTTTCTGTAATGAGAAAATGAAAGATTCTTTTGGGTAGACTAAGTAAGATGTTCAGACAAATTCGTATGCGACATCAGAGACGACTGTAAGGAATTCATTTATTTTTTTGCTTGCATAATTGTTTATATGCATCTTCTTTAGTTTTCCCTTCAAATTTTTTTAAGTCAAGGATCGTAATTAACCATCAGTTCGTCATATTTTTAGGAATTTAGAAATGATTTCATTTAATTTTATCTAGGTTGCGACTATCCATTTAATTTTATCTAGGTTGAGACTATCCATTTAATTTTATCTAGGTTGCGACTATCCATTTAATTTTATCTAGGTTGCGACTATCCATTTAATTTTATCTAGGTTGCGACTATCCATTTAATTTTATCTAGGTTGAGACTATCCATTTAACTTTATCTAGGTTGCGACTATCCATTGATGAGGTTGGAGTTGGATTGTCTGTAGCTTTACTCTACACTGATGGATATTGGTATAGAGGTCGTGTCACTCAAGTTCTAGGTATTTGGTTCATTTATAAAGTATACAAAAACGTTTTTGAATGATTTCAGTCGCTTTTTACTCGAAATGAGAGGTTGAAAATCAAATTGTTGAAATCTGTAACAGGCGTATTCAGGGGGGGATATGGGGGCTATCCAGGGGGGGACCAGTGAAATCTATTGATTTCAGGGGGTTTTCAGGCCCCAACGGGTGCTACTGCTGAACCCCCCCCCCTGAAAGATAAAAAAATTAAGCCCCCCCTGGACAAATTCCTGAATACGCCCCTGATCTGTAATAAAATTTAATGCGAATATTTCGCCTCGTTTTTTTCATGCCAATTAATGATTTTGTTTGGCTTACTTTCATGCACATTGTGTTTTTCTAGAAATTTGTTGACTAAATCTTATTTTTGCCAATTTAGGAGGAGATAAGTGTACTGTTTTCTACATAGACTACGGATATACTTGTCAGGTACGGAACGGTGCAGTGAAGTACGGTGCAGTTAAGTACGGTGCAGTTAAGTACAGTGCAGTGCAGTAAAGTACGGTGCAGTAAAGTACGATACAGTACGATATAGAAAGAAAGAATAAAAAACAATCAATTGAATATGTTCTTTGAATACCTCAATGCTCATTGTCATAACGTTTATGGGAGGGAAACAAAAAAATATTTATGTAACAGCTTTAATGCAAATTATTATTGGCTACTGTTATGTAAAAATTACACTGACAAAATTTCATATAGTATATTTTTTCAAACACACAATACAAAATAATAATGTATGATGGTTCAGCTTAAAATAAAACGAAAGAAAATTTAGTTTGAGCCAATTGAAAATAGAATGTTTGATATTTTTTTTTGATCATATTTGTAAAAACAACGTATATACATGTTGAAATCTCAACTAAATATACATTCATGTAGCATTTACAAGTAGATAAATAATCGGAATATTTTCAGGAATGCATTCATATATCAAAGCTATTTAATTTGAACTCTCTACTTTTAGTATCAACTTATTTATTATTATATCTTATCTGTTCGGTTCCATAGTAGTAAACCTATTGTGTAAGAATTCCCATTATTACACGGTTCAGGAGGAACAATTTTAATATTGTTCCCTTCCTAGCGTTTAAGAATGCTTATTCTTACACTCTAGGTGTAGAATTTTCATTCTTTAACGCTCAGACCGTGTAAGAATGGAAATTATTACACGGTCAGAGCGTGAAAGAATGTATATTCTTACACGCTCCGAGCATTAAATTGGTAATTATTTCACTAAATGGAGAATATTCATTTCACGCTCCTCATATTGATCTTTTCAACATTGATAATAACTTAATTATTTGGTACTGACAACATGCACAGGGCAAACTCACCTTTTTCTTTTAAACTAATACATGAAAACTTACCTTTTTATATTTTATAACAACATGCTCACTTACCTTTTTCTTTTATATCAAAACATGCTCACTTACCTTTTTCTTTAATATTAAAACATGCTCACTTACCTTTTTCGTTTTTTGAAGTATTGATATACCTTAATTATTAGGTGATTCTACCTGCTATGAGGCATCTGCACTTAAAATTCTCTGACATGAAAGCACAGGCAATCAGGTATCAATTTTATGGTTTTCCTTATCCTATTTCTTCAGAAATCTTCCCAGATTGAATTGAAGAATTATTAAGTACGCGACGGGAAGGAGGTTGATCGCCTTTTTGGGTCATACTTGGTTGGTTGCCAGAATTTGATTTAGTGCTCTCAGTATTTTTTTTTTGATTAGCTATAAATATTTGATAGTTTAGCCCTATGATTAATTACGATTTATTCCATGTTTAAAGCAGTGCTTAGGATCCGGATCCGTTGGGTCCGCAAGATTTTAGCTTCCTGGATCCGGATCCGAAAAAATATGCGGATCCACAGATCCGGATCCAAGGGGTAAAATATCAACTATAAACTGCAAAAAAGAACTTGTTCACTCCTAAAACCAAAATCTGAACTTTTGAAAAAATAGGGATTATAAAAATTTCCTCATTTCAGAATGGTTTATCAAGTTTTAGAATAAAGATATGCGAAAAAATCAAACATAAATTTGAAAATTATTTTTTGTTAAAATAAATTCAGTAAATCTTATGGAAATGACCCGGACCTGGATCCGGATCCATTTTTTTCCAGTGCGGATCCAGAATTCGGATCCGCATCAAAATTAAATGGATCCAAAGCACTGGTTTAAAGGGATCATAATCAAGTTAAAAACATTACCATGAAAATTGTAAAATTTCAATTTTTTGGGAAAATTTTAATTAGGTTGATAATTTATCTGTGAATATTCAACGGCTAATATGAGCCCTGGGTTTATAAAATGTATCAGAGGAAAAGACGCATAGAATTATTGATGATGATAACTTGCAGATTTGGATTATTTACTGAGAATCAAGCACCCAGCAATAACTGGTCTATCTCCTGCAAACAGAAGTTGAAGGAATTGATTCAACAGGAACATGTCAACCATAGAAAAAAAAATCGAGCTTGGATTTGAAATGTGTGACCTATTATAATTTTTTACACTAAAGACTAGAGAAAAAACTTTTTTTAAGAAATTAATCTCGAATGATTATTTCAAATTGTCTAAACCTGAAGCTTAAACTTTTAATTTCTTTAACTTTGCAAAATAGTTAGGAAATGTGCATTATGCAAAGAACATGAAGCTGTTAAAACAGTTACTTGATCATAATTGATAAAAAATGTGATTTAAAATCTCATTTGAAATTTAGTACATTTTGATGAAGCAATTTTCCATAAGCTTTTTTTTTCATTGTGAAAAAAAATCATTTGTGTTATTGTGGAACGTTTATTAAGGGACCGGGGTTTTATTAGTTTCCAGACATTGTGATCTAGCAAACAATGATTTAGACGTAATTTATGACGAGAAACTTTTATTTCATGGGTTTCATGATTCGTTAGTGTGAGTCTAGCTACAATATTCCTGTAGCTGATGGTGATGAACCTATCCAGGGTGCTCTTGCTCTTATCCTTCCGGTTCCTCAATACCAGATGCTCAAGGTTTACCAGGAGACTGGAATTCTAAGATTCTTCGGGACTTTTTCAATGATTTTATGATTTGTATGATCTTAACTTTAGCTTAATGATTTGTATGATCTTAACTTTAACTTAAATAGCCAATAATTACGCAGATTTCCATGTTTGAACTGATTTATTTTCCAGAATTACGGAAAATGGGACACATGTGTCCTATAATTGTTTAGCATTATAGGTTCTGTAGTTACACCATTTATTAAGGACAAGTAACAAACAAAGTTATAAATATAAAAAGTGAATACATGGAGTGATGGTTTTTTTAAAGTCATTTTTGAAGAGATTGAATTTTTTTATTCTTAAAAGAAACTTTTTTTAAGGGCTGCAGAATGAGTGTTCAACTGAAATATATTAGGAACATTAATCATGAATTAATATATACCTTTTAATTCTCTAATCTGTATTCTCAAGTGCTTCTTATTGCAAGTTTAAAGATAGAGACGGAAAAATTGGATTTTCAACTTTTAATTGCTTTTACTAACAAACTGTGTGTCTTCCTTATAATTTTAGAATATTAATTTAAATGTTGAAAAGTCTAAAACTATAATAACTATAATGAGATCGTGTAGAGATGGAAACCTGTTGGTTGAGATAAATCCGGAGATTAAAACTTTCAGGTGCGTTAAACAATTAAGCACATAATAATAATAATGATATCTGTTTTATCAAAGCTTTACTTCAAGCTATTATATTTAAAAGTTATTACTTGCCACAAACTCTGATTTACTAATCCCTTTGTCTTTAAAGACCTTTGATATTTCAAACTATGCTACAGGGTGTCCCACGTCATTTTGTTGAACAAAACCCTTCCAAAACTCCTCAGAGCCTTTTAAAAGTCGTCTTTACCAGGTTTGCCAAGGATTTATTTCTCTGACGGAGTCTTAACACACCAAACCCGTCCCCTCTCCCCCCCCCCTCCTCCGATACTCGATTGTTTACCAAAACAAAGCACACGTTGAAGTGAAATAAGTTAAAATTTTAATGCGAGCCTTAGAGCAGTTTTATCACCTAGTGCATCTGTTTACACATTTAGTTAAGGGACCAATTTAAGAAAAAATCTTGCAGAAAATAAACAGGTTTTTCGAGTATTATATGCGTATTTTGGTGTTGAAGCTTGGAGATAATCCTATAAGATATGGGACGCTCTGTAGATCAAATAATCAACTTTTACACCAACTGACATTAGGTAGCAAAGGCCAGGATATTTGCTAGACATGGTAATTGAGCTGAAAGTGCATCAGTGTAGATAACAACTTCAGGTTTCATGTCATACCATTTGACAAACCCGACTCATGAAATATTACAAACGACTTTACGGCCTTTTTTAAAAATTGTACACCGTAAAGATGTGTCGGTATCTAATGAATCCTTAAGTGTTTCTCTACAATACTGCACTTTTAGCTCAGCTACAATGTCTAGCTCCCTTAAATAAAGTGGTGTTCTGCATAGGCTTGCTGCTCCAACCACTGCTAACCTTGGTGCTGCTCCAGCAACTGGTAAACCTAGTACCTCTGCTGCTGTAATAAATGGAGCTACCACTGCTGTTAATTCTGTAGTTGCTAGAAATGAAGCTGCTTCTGCTGCTGTTAATCCTGTTGTTGTTCTCCAGGTAGCTAAGGTGGGATTGTATATATTCAAGGATTTAAAAAAACTAAGAAGAGAAGAAATGGGTTTCCTGACATTTTACTCTCAGTAAACCCATTTATTGGAAACAAGAAATCAATGGTAAACAATGATAGCTTAGCGGGAATGTAGCCGTGAATTCAATTCATCCTTCATTTCAAGATTTACAACGGTACACACTAAACCTTGACGGAAACATCATTTTTTTTCTAGTTGAAAATTGATTATTTCCAAATAACACTCTGAACACTTTTCCCCGGTAGACAACAACCATTATTATTCTTTAATTACGGTCGCATAGGTTAAAAGGCCACCATTGTAAATTGTACATACCATTCTATAAAATAATAGGTCATTTAATTAAATACAGTTATTTTAAGCCTGACCTATTATTGTTATTTGTTATTGTTATTGAGCTGTCCAAATACTTTTTGGTAACACAAACTCTATTCGCATCTCCTTAGTTCGACCATCATTGGTATGTATGGTAGATTGTTATTTCTGGAAACCAACACATGAATGTAATTTCAAATATAATGAGTTATTACCTTTAGTACCCTTAATCATGTCTATTTAATATAAACCAATATCGTCAATCATATTTGACAAGAAGTTTTCAGTTAAACAGAAACAAGATAATTATTCATACAACTGGTCCTAACGATTGAGGCGAGATTTTTAAGATCAAGCTAGGTGGGATTTTATATGTTCACTTTCTTGTGATTTCAATTCAAGTATAAAAATCCCTACTCGTATCTCAAAATCCCTTCTCAAAGACGATTAGTCAATAGTTATACATGGGAACATCATTCATAGTTCTTGCTAAAATTTTTCTCTGCTATTATTATAATTATAAAGATTTATTCCTAGGAATGCATAGCAGAAAAAAAAACAAATCATTAGGGAGCTCCCCTTCATTCATATTTATCTTAAAGTTGGCCCATAACGAATAAAAGGTATCTTAAAATGGTTGTATGGCTCAAACGTGGTCGTGCAAAGCTCGACTTACTCTCTGTTTTAAGCTGATAAAGGTTTCAATGAAAAAGAATTATGTATAGATATGTATACATATACATTGGTCGAAAAAACACATCAATGAATTCTAGGGAACCCCAGATAGCTCACTAACTGACTGTCTGATCCAGGTCCCTAAAAACTTCAAATGCACAAAATAGACGCTTTTCAATATAATTGTATAACTGGTTAAGGGAACACTTCTGCTTTTGCATAGTTTATTTTTTCTCCGTCTTTTGATATTTTTCATGAACAAACTTGATTATAATTTGCCTAGGAAGGCTTTTATGAAAACCCATTGTTTGACATTGAGGATCCGGATCCTAAGCACCGGTTAAAATACACAAAATTGTGATGTGATTTGTTAAGGGACTTGACATTTGTTTTTTGTATTTGCGTAAACTAGCTCTTGTTCTTTTAGACCAAGCTGGCTCTGCTGTGCAAGCACCTGAAGTTGAACCTGTACAGGAATGACAAGAAGTTTCTTAGCAACATCAAGGTATAGAATACTTAGTACAGTTATTGATAATCGTTAAATGTTATAATCTTTTCTAAGCCTTTCCACAATCATTATAATTATGTTTCAGGCCCATATAGGAGGTATTGAGAAGGAAGTAGAGTTATGTGAGAAAATATTCAGGTGAGAGTCCAATTTAGATATTTTTGTTGAAGGGGGACTTGAGGGGATATACATTAAGGTTTTAAACAATAAAGTAAAAAACATTAAAAACGCTGTTGTTTGGAACAAAGAAATGCATGGTAAGATAATTTATCGTCATTTTAATGGAAGAGGTAAGAGGATATACTTAAAAAGGGACCGTTCACTGAGGGGGAACTAAATAGCCTATCAGCAGGTCATTGGTATTACTTTTCAAAGACAACAGTGGCCGGAGAAAAAGCCGATTTTTCGTTTAGAATTCCAGTGCAAAAGAATGCATTGATACCTATGCATTTACACTATTTGATGCTTATGTCATAGTGATGGATTTTAAAAATTTGAGTTGAAATCTATGAAACGGTTTGAAAATGTCGTCTTTGTTTAAACATGTCAAATCATCTTTGAACATGAAAAACGTTAATTTCTTGCTAATTCTTAAATTTAAAGTTTTTTAATATAACGACTGACATTGATGTCATTGAAATATGATAATTTTAGATTTTATTTGGTTTTTGTTACTGAAAAGGTATCATACCTTTGCGCTAGAATTTATGCGGTAAATCGGCTATTTCTCTGGTATACTTGAAAAAGAAAGACTAATATCAATGATTTGCTACTAGTCTATTTAGTTTACCATGAAATTACTCAAATAAGTAAACAGTCCCTTTAAAAATTTTAAAATAAAAACTACTATCTTAGTTTTAGGCATATTTCCCTCTTACTTTTAGTAAATTACTTTTACTACATTGAGCCTAAAACTGTCTTGAAATATGAGAAAAGTTCCTTTTTTTACCATTTATAACAATGTTGTATCCCATTACATGAGGGACTATTTTAGTGAATTATTTTATTTTGATTACAGTGACGTGATTTCCGGTTCCAAGATAGAAGTGGATTCTCTAAACCGTCTTCAGATGGAGCAGGTCAACTAGTTACAAAATATGCTTTACATTTACTGCAACAGATTAGGACAGCTCAGTAATTAGTTTAACTATTTATAGAATTTTTTTTATATGGCACAAAGAGATGATGCTCAGAGATAGAGCCACAATAAAAAGTTGAAATAGAAGCCTAGTTTGTTAAATTTGTTTACTCATCACTGATCCCCTATTCTAGTTCCTGTGCACTGTGCAGACAAAATTCAGTAGGTAATTTTTGAATGAAATGGAACTAAATTACACTCCCTTTTGAATTCATGAGATTAACTTTCTTTCTTTCATATCTGTCTTAATAAAACCTGACCTTGGATTGGTTTAAGTTGGTCCAATCTCAGAGCTTATCCCCAACAAGAAAATGTTTAGGATCTCAAAGTTAAAGACTCTAGCTCGTTTAATCTAATGAGAAGTTCTCAGTTCTGCCCCGTTTTCTATTTCTTTTAGATTTAAATTTTATTTCATATTGTATTATCTCACCAAATCTCCATAATACATGATTTAAATGCATTAAATGTTATCATGCAGTCGTCGTCGTATATATCAATACAATAAAGACTACTTATGATATTTTTTATTTCAAAAGCATGGATAGCTGTCATTTAACAGATTCTCTTTGTTTTATTAAAAACCTGTAATTTAAAAAAGGTTCGTTAGAAGTCGAAATTTTATTATAAAAGTTGTCTTCATTGTATTGATATAAACCCTAACTACTGTATTTTAACTAGGTGGCTGTGGAGCTAGAGAGAATGATGGAATCCTTGCATTTCTACTAATCGTGGATGATGTAACAAGCTTATGCACCCAAACCTGTGCCTTATTTACCAAGCAAACTAATGCTACATTTACCAAGCAAATCTTCAAGCACAACTGTAAATCATTGCTACATATTCGACTGTAAATCATTGCTACATATTCGAACCATGCAAACCATTGCTACATTCAAGTAACCCCTTAGTACAATGCTACAGGGATGTAAAAGCATTACATTCTCATTATCTTGAGTTACTACAATTATATTCGTTTGCAGCAGATTTGTCTTTTTAGCTCAACAATTTCAGGCATGCATCAGCGTTAAAAGGCTGTAGGCATATATGTCAAATTTGATAAAGAAAATCCAAAAATAAACTTAACAATAGTCCTGTTTAACTGCAAATTGAAATGTAATGTGGCTTTTCGTCAAAGAAAGTTAGTTTGTTAAATTGTGAAACAACATAAAACATTTATACGTAAATCAGTTCAAAATTGTTATGTGAAAATTATGTCAAAGTTTTGTAGTTCATTTTTTCAGAATACAATGACACTAAATACTGATCGGATGTTCATCGCTGCAATGTAGTTATGGAGTACACAAATCAATTTTATAATGCAAGGAAAGTTATTTCAGAGATGTACTCATCTTTCGTACTGCAGTGTACTGTCTCTGGGCGGTAATGTTAACGCAAGACGGATGTCACTGCCTGACATGGGATCCATCTTTCACATCAAAAATCAATGAAATATTCTGGTCAAAATTATCAAAATTAAAGCTTTTATCCTCCTCGGATACTAAACGAACACTAATGCATCTATTCTTGTTTACTAATTCTGCCCAAAGAACTGTTTTCAATATGTACGCAAAAAATACGCAGCTGCAATTAACTTTCCTTGCATTATAACCTTGACAAGAATAGTACCAAGAGTTTTAAAGAAACATGCGCACGATTTGAAATCTTCATAACCAGGGAAACGAAAAGTTTGATACGGTTGGTATGACCAAACAAAGGTCTGGTGAAGATTAGAAAGAAGAAAGAAAAGAGAGGAAGCCTTAAATGAAGGTTACGATCGACGATAAGAATAAAGGATAGAGGAACATGAAAAGGAAGGTAGGAGAGAGGAGCAGGGAAAGGATAAGTAGGAGAGAGGAACATGGAAAGGATATGCAAGAGAGATTAAAATGGAAAGGAAGGTAGGAGAGAAGAACATGAAAAGGACGTGTAAGAGAGAGGAACATGGAAAGAATATGTAGGAGATAGGAGCATGGAAAGGAAGGTAGGAGAGAAGAATGAAAAGGAAGGTGGTAGGAGAGAGGAACTTGGAAAGGATATGTAACAAAAAGGAACATGGAAAGGATATGTAAGAGAGAGGAATGGAAAGGATGGTAGGAGAAAGGAATGGAAAGGAAGGTAAGAGAGAGAAACATTGAAATGATATGTAAGAAAGAGGAACATGGAAAGGAAGGTAGGAGAAAGGAACATGGAAAGGATATGTAGGAGAGAGGTTTATGGAAATGATATGTAGGAGAGAGGAACATGGAAAGGATATGTAGGAAAAAGAGACCCTGTCAAATGGACAGAATGAGTGGTGATCAGTAATTTTTTTGCTTCGTGTTGAAATTTTAACTATAAGTAAAGTAAACTATAAAAGTTTTAAAGAAACATGAGCACGATTTGAATTCTTCATAACCAGGGAAACGAAAAGTTTGATACGGTAGGTTTGACCGAACAAAGGGTAAAGGTGTGGTGAAGATAAGAAAGAAGAAAGAAAAGAGAGGAAGCATTAAATGAAGGTTTCGATCGACGATAAGAATAATGGATAGAGGAACATGAAAAGAAAGGTAGGAGAGAGGAGCATGGAAAGGATGCGTAGGAGAGAGGAATATGGAAAGGATATGTAAGAGAGATTAACATGGAAGGGAAGGTAGGAGGAGTAGGAGAGAATAACATGAAAATGATATGTAAGAGAGAGGAATATGGAAAGGAAGGAAGGTAGGAGAAAGAAACATGGAAAAGATATGTAGGAGATAGGAGCATGGAAAGAAGAACGATAAGGAAGGTAGGAGAGAGGAACATGGAAAGGATATGTAAGAGAAAGGAATGGAAATGAAGGTAGGAGAGAGAAACATTGAAATGATATGTAAGAAAGAGGAACATGAAAAGGAAGGTAGGAGAAAGGAACATGGAAAGAATATGTAGGGGAGAGGAACATGGAAAGGAAATGTAGGAGATAGGTACATGGAAAGGAAGGTAGGAGAGATGAACATGGAAATGATATGTAGAAGAGGAACATGGAAAGGATATGTAGGAGAGAGGAACATGGAACGGATATGTAAGAGAGAGGGACATGTAAAGGAAGGTAGGAAAGATGAGCATGGAAAGAATATGTAAGAGAGAGAAACATGGAAAGGAAATTTAGAACAGAGGAACATGGATTGGAAGTTTGAAGATAGGAACATGGAAAGGATATGTAGGAGAGAGGAACATGAAAAGGTAGATAGAAGTGAGTTATATGGAACGAATGGTAGGAGAGAGGAAAATGGAAGGAATATGAAAGAGATAGGAACATGGAAAGGAAATTTAGAAGAGAGGAACATGGAAAGGAAATGTAGAAGAGAGGAACATGGAAAGGAAATAAAGAAGAGAGGAACATGGAGTGGAAGATAGGAGAAAGGAACATGGAAAGGATATGTAAGAGAAAGGATCAAGAAAAGGAAGCTAGGAGAGAGTTATGTGGAACGAATGGTAGGAGAGAGGAACATGGAAAGGAAAGTAGGAGAGGGAAACATGAAAATTAGGAAGGTAGAAGAGAGGAACATGAAAAGAAAGGGAGAGGGAAACATGGAAAAGGAAGGTAGGAGAGGGAAACATGATAAGAAAGGTAGGAGAGAGCAACATGGAAAGAAAGGTACAGGAGAGAGGAACATGAAAACGAAGGTAGGAGAGAGGAACATGGAAATGAAGGTAAGAGAGAGGAAGGGAGAGGAACTTGGAAAGTTAGGTAGGGGAGAGGAACACGCTAAGGAAGGTAGGAGAAAGAAACATAAAATGGAAGTTAGGGGAGAGGAACAAGAAATGTTGGAGAGAGGAACATGGAAAGGAAGGTAGGAAAAAGAAATATGGTAAGGAAGGTAGGAGAGAGGAACATGAAAAGGAAGGCAGGAAAAAGGAACATGGTAAGAAAGGTAGGAGAGAGGAACATGAAACGGAAGGAAGGAGAAATGAATATGAAAAGGAAGATACAGGGTGTCCCACGAAACATGACAATAGCAAGACGAAATTGTTCATATCTCGGGCAATATTGAAAGCACAAAAAATGCAGACCACATTTTGGAAATGGCAGGACTAGGGGAATTTTGTGATTATTATCTCTAGAAATTTACTTCTAAAATTAGGTTGACAAAGAAATGCAGCAAATCATATCAAAAATCAAGACGATATTCAAGTCGTTTCATACTTTCATGTTTCGTGGGACACCCTGTACGTAATTGAGAGAAGAAGGTAGGAGAAAGACACACAAAATTAACACTAGGGGAGAGGAACATGGAAAGGAAAAGATACGCGAGGAAATTAAAATCCAAGAAAGAATGAGGAAGACAAAATGACGAGTAGATCAGAGTGTGAACATGGATATAATGATAAAAGATGAAAGATTGTGGTTAATATCAGTAATCCTGAGAATCCGTGCAACTCAGACTGCTCAGGCGGAGAAAACAATTATTGGATTAGCTGTCAAATCCTGAAACCAAACCAAACCCTGGCCCGGTCTTTATTCTTTAAACATGGCCGCCCAAACACTTTCTTTTAATGTTTTTACTTCTATATTCAAATTATTGTACAGGAGAAGTAAAAAATGACAATTATGTATGAAACGTTTGTTTTGGTAACCAACATTTTTTTATTTTAGATTTAAAATGGCTAAATACGGCCGGAAACAGATTTCCAGTAACATTGGATTCGGGTTTGCGGAGAACGCTGATTTGAATATCAGTGAAATCGGGTATCTAGAGATACGCTCCGCTTACAGAATGGAGATGGAGAATCACTGTCTGTTCCACGGGATATGTAAGAGAAATTGTAGAAACAATCCCCGATGTTTATCCAATATAGGTGAGAAGGTTTGGTTCGACGATGAGGAGGAAGAGGAGGAGTATGAGATAGAGAACGAATTGCTCCGGAGTGACGGGATACCAGCAGGGTTGAGAAACCTTGGAAACACATGCTACGTGAATTCCTTTCTTCAAATCTGGTTTCATAATTCAAAATTTAGACAGGTCAGTTATTAAAATAAGATTGGTGAATTTTCTTTATTAAATGTACCGTTAACTTTAAAAGAGCAATCTCCCGTCACCATCTATGGTATATTACTAGAGAACGATTTTTGCAGTGCTTAGGATCCATTTAATTTTGATGCGGATCCGGATACGGATCCTGGATCCGCTTTTCAAAAAATGGATCCAGGTCATTGATCAAAAAAAAATTTATTTTAGTTCAAATATCTTTTCAAACCTAAAAAAAAAAGTTTAACATTTTAACATTTTTTCATACTATTTTTCTACTAGTTTGCACAAATGATAATGATTTTTTTTTACTTTATTGGATTAAAAAAAAACAGGTCTAATTCATATTAGCTTTTAGTAGAAGGAAGGCGTTTGGAATATCTGCCTTCAGGCAACTCCTTAGGTCTGATTTTAATATCTTCAGGGCAGAGAACAGTCTGTTTATAGTGGGAACACAAGATGTTCCTTAGCATCTGTATCTTTTTAGCACATGTGCGCCCCCTCCCTTTTCCCCCTCACTCTTACACATCCTTACACCTTAATTTGTGAAGGCTGAATTTGCTTAGTTGCAATGGGGAAAAGGGAGACTTCCCCCCCCCCCCTCTAGTTATTAAAGGGGGGGGGGGTGCACGGTGGAGGTCTGAGTTAAGATTTGAGCAAGACCTGAGACCCTGAGAATATTTTTAAAATTTGTTAAACAATTCAAAATAAGATATTTTTAAGGAAAAATAACGCTGTTTTGCACATTTTGAAAAATAAAATTGTGCTTGGATCCGGATCCGTGGATCCGCATTTTTTTGCGGATCCGGATTCGGATCCAGAGAGCCAAAATAATGCGGATTCGGATCCTAAGCACTGGATTTTTGGACCCCTCCCCCCCCTCCTATCAATTTTGTACATGGATCTTAAATGACATGAATCTTAAATGTAAGACATGTGGCCGCAGCGCTCGGCCCCCTAGTCCATCCTAGCCGCAGCGCTCAGCCCAGAAAGTGTCTTAACCTAACCTAACCCTAAATAATACTAAATAAATACTAATTTGGTCATTTACAAAATTGATAGGAGGGGGGGGGGGTCCAAAAATCGTTAACTAGGACAGACCCCCATCTATTTATCTTAGCCTAACCTAACCACGGTTAGTTTGATCAATGGAGGTTGCTCTCTTTCTCTTTCGTAATTTGAAAATTACCACAATTTGGCATTTACAATATTGTTTTTGAGCATTATTTGGACTATTAATAAATATGGTAGGGTTTCAGTAAACTCTGCTCATTTACCGGGATTATATCATGCATACTAATTGTTGAAGAATATAGTGTTTCTTCTTCTTTTATTATTTAGAAAAACACTTAAAAAATTAAATCAAAAACCACATTAAGTTACAAAGATGAAGACTATAGTTAATAAATAAATTATTTTTTTATTTGAAATAATTAAGTTCTAAATAGGCTTTGTATGAGTGGGATCCAGGAGAGGATCCTGAAGAGCAGGATAACGAATCCATCCTAGACCCGGAGCTGTACGAACCAAAGAGTAAGGTCGCAAGCCTTCAAGCCCTCTTTGCCATGATGCAGTACACCAAACGAAAATATGCAGATCCTACGGATTTTATTTGTAAACTCGGTTTAAATCCGTCCGTACAACAGGACGCACAGGAGTTCTCCAAACTATTCGTCTCACTACTGGAGAACTCGTTAGCTCATCAGACCAACTCCGATATCAAATCAATGATCCAACGACTTTTCCGCGGAGAGTACGCTTACGTGACAAAATGTCTCACCTGCAACCGTGAATCCATTCGTCCGTCCTTTTTCTACGAACTTGACTTGGCCCTGGCCGGAAACAAAACTTTGACCATTGAGAAATGTTTGGAGGATTTTCTCAAGATAGAACAGATGACTGGAGACGAGAAATACTTCTGTGAAGGATGTGAAGCTAAGCAGGATGCAACTAGATGCTGTAAACTCAGAGAACTCCCTCCTGTCCTCAACCTACAACTCAACAGGTTTCAGTATGATATGCAGTTTGGTCGGAAGAAGAAGTTGAACTCCTGTATCCTGTACCCGGAGGAGTTGGACATGTCCAAGTATCTCGAGGGCGCAGAGAAGGTAATTTCAATTATTTTTTCGATTTTTAGGATTAAATATAATTTTGGTATCTTTTAATTAATTTTTAAGTGGTTCTTGAATGTCTTAAAACTATTTTGATTTAATTTATTTCCTGACCTGGGATCTTTTGTGTTGTGTTGAATACGCATAATCCCGATCGCTTTATTTCGATATCCAATGGGGGGGCACTTTAAATTTGAGGATCAATGCATGATCGTTTCACTTCAGATATCCCTTCAGGGTAGAATTACACTACGGGATATCAAGTAAAGATTTACAGAAGGTCGAGATCAATCATTGATCTCGATAGTCGATATCTGCAATACAAAAGTTTCCAGCTCTGAACTGGGAACTTTAGAACGGGATACCTTTAATCCCGACTGCTTAATCCGTAAATCCAATATGTGGACACTTAATTCCTTGCTTAATCCACTTTTTTGGATAATAATAATAAGTTTATTTTTTCGGCGAACATAATTTACAATATTTTTACTTTAGTAATTCTAAAATTTTGAAGACCAAGAACCCCCTTGTACCATAAATATAAAACAAATAAATAATAAACATTTAAATTACAATTTTAATTTCTATGGGATTTTTATTCCAAAAGGTAGCATATTAAAAATAAGTCATTTTATCAACATTTAAATGAATTGTCCGCTGTACATTTAGATGATTAAATTCCTAAGCATATATCCATCCCCTCCTTCTACTCCATTCATTTTCAAAACCTTCTGGTAATTTATCGCATTTAAACTGTCTCATGAATTTTAATACATTAAAGTCTATCATCTAACTAAATGGTAATATTGTATGATAAATGAAAGCTTCAGTAGTGTGTTCTATAAAGTTTAAACCAGATATTATTCTGATTATTTTTTTACACTTTTTCTATTTTGTTCATAATTAAAGAATTATTATTAAATAAGAATAAAGATCCAAAATTCATATCAAAGTTTCAAACAATTCTTAGGGATCAAGTTTTTAACTCTATAATAGAGAAAGACGAAATTTTTGCAAGGGTTTTTTATGCAAATTGTGTAAAATTGAGATTTTGATCATAAAGACCACCTAACATTCGAATGTTTGAAACGGGTCTTAATTTAAATACTTTCTTTAGTTCAATTCAATTTAAATAAAGAGTTTGAAATGGTTTCAAAGAAAAAACCAATAAACTTAGTTTTATCTAATTTCAAGAATGATTTATTTAGACAATATCAATTCAACTATTTTTTAAATATGAATATCTTTATGTTTGAATAACATGAAGTATCATCAATATATAGTACAGAACAATCAAAACCCGGTTTTTCAAAATTAAGGAGTACCTCTCGTCTCTGTTTATTAATCTTAATTAAATAAGAAACACGAGATTAGGTTAGTCACGAGATTAAGAAAAGAGAGGATCAAGCGTTCTTACGTTCCCAGCTCTGGTTTAATAATCCTCTTATCAAGTTTTATTATTCAGGGGTCATGTCGGTACAGTTTAACCGGTGTCCTCATGCACGTTGGTCCTGACGCCAACCATGGTCACTATATCGCGCATATCCAAGAACTCGAGACAGGAAACTGGTTCAAGTTTAGTGATGAACATGTTGTATCATTGGAACGGAAAAACATGGCGCACTCCAACGACAAGGGGTTAAAGAAGATGAAAAGCTTTGAGAAACCGTCTGGGTTGCAGAACTCTAACAATGCTTACATGCTTGTTTACATGCTCAAGTCGTCCATTGAAGAGATTCGTCGACACGAATTGCGGGAAATGGTTAAACGCGATTCAGTTCGACGAATCACGATTCAGAAACGTCATGCGAACCACGCGCGCGAGCAAGCGCTTCAACTCGGGGATATTTCAGGATTAGATCCTGATAGCGGCGAGCGACGTGGTTTAAAACGGAAACCATCGGTCGACAGTACAGATTCAATAGAAGAAATCGACTACAGTGACGAGTACTGTTACTCAAATTGTCGCGTATTCCCGGTGAAATATCAGCCGCATCTTAGAAATAAAATCGACAAGGACAACCTAGAGTTCGACGAGGAAATTGAAGAGAAGAAACAGCGACGGATCGACATCATTCGGATGAATAACAAGAAAAAACAGAGAATGAAAGAAATGTATAAAGGTAAAATATTTCGAAGAATTTTAAACTCTTTTTAAAACATAAAAATATATTTTAGCTCTCCAATGGGTTCCTGAATATAACGGCTCGGATTCTGATGAGAGTATGGATGATGAAAGTTTTGAATTTGTTCCCAAGAACTGGTTGATGGCCTGGCTTGCTGACCCTTTATCCGTAGGTCCGGTCGAGACGAAGCACTACCTGTGTGTCCATGAGAACCTGGATATTGATAGATTGAATGATATGAAACTATGCAACAGCACTGGGGTCAATATGCTTATATCCGAGTACGGAGAAGGAGAAGGACCCAGGCTTAACGGGGTAAATTGAAAATTTAATTTTTTCATCCTGATAATACCATTGGTCGGTCGTTGGCTTGCTTTATATATTTATTGATTCATTAATTTATTGATTCATTTATTTATTGATTCATTCATTTGTTGGTTGGTTGGTTGGTTGATTGGTTTTTAGTTGGTTGGTTGGTTGGTTGGTTTTTGGTTGTAGTGCTTAGGATCCAATTAATTTTGATGCGGATGCGGATCCGGATCCTGGATCTGCACTATAAAAAAAATGGATCCGGATCCAGATCCAGGTTGCTTCTTTAAAATTTACTGAATTTTTTTAACAAAGCAAAATGTTCAAATTTTTTGTCTTATTGTTTCGCTTATTTTTATGCTAAAACTTGATGAACCATTAAGAAATCCGGAAATATTTATTATCTCTCTTTTTTAAGAAGTTAAGATTTGGGTTTTGAAAATAAATTTTTTTTTTTCAGTTCTTTGGTTGATTTTTTGCCCCTTGGATCCGGATTCGTTGATCTGCATATTTTTGCGGATCCGGATCCAGGAAACCAAAATCTTGCGGATCCGGATCCTAAGCACTGGTTGGTTGGTTGGTTTTTGTTTGGTTGGTTGGTTGGTTGGTTGGTTGGTTGGTTGGTTGGTTGGTTGATTGATTGATTGATTGATTGATTGATTTGATTGATTGACTTAGGATCATCTATGTGCTACCTGTGTGAAAAACAAGGCTAGATTAATCTCTCTGGATTATAAGCTGCAGCGGGATCAAGAGTTTCTCAGGCATCAGCTTAAGGTAGAAACCTTTTTTTTTTAACATTTTCCCTTCAGATAACATTATATTGTTAGTAGCGGAATCGTTCAGGCGTGTAAATTTTTTAATTTTTGGAGATTTAGGAGGGACATGAAAAATTGGGCATGGATAGTCAAGTTTTTTCGCCCTTTTAAAACTTTTTACCCATAAATTTGTTTGTTTTTTTTTCCTTAAAAATCATTCATTTTCCTTAATTCCGCAAATAAAACCTTAAAAAATCGCTTTCCGCAAACATAATTAACTTCTTGGGGGGTGATTTTTCTGGAAAATATACACTCCTAAAATTGTTCTCACAAAAGTGTTTCATTTCTGTGACAAAAATTTAATTACTTTCTGAAGATAACTTTAAAATAAAAAATAATAGTGAGTTTTCAAATATAATCGCCGTATTCCAGGTTCCTACGGATGGAAAAGGGTTCTGGATCGGGAAGAAGAGTTTAACGAACTGGAAAAGGTTGGCCAAGGATGCTCTAGAGGATCAAATAGTTAGAGAAGTTCAGGATTGGAATCTAAACAGAGATTGTGTCCAGGTTGGTTTGTAGTTAAACATTCTTTAAAACATTTTCAACTTTTCGTCTGGGGGAAAATGACATTTTTCTATGGGATCGCGCTTAACTAGATTAACAGAACTCGATCAACCATTACGTTATGTTTTAAATCGAGGGGGTCAACGTGTCAAATCGGGAATGTTCTCAGGTTAAGTCGTCGATATAGGGATAAACTGTCTGGGCGTCCTCAGGAGAATCAGATGTAATAAAAGAAAACTGAAGAAAAAATCGATGTTTCTGTGGTTTTTTTTTCTTTTCCATGTCACTGTAAAAATTAAAAGATTAAACTTGTTTCAGGATTTTAACTGTGACAAGACACCTAAGAAAGAGTACTTCAAGATTCGTCATGATCATGAACACAGTCCGGATCATAAACCTGGCCCTAACCTTCAACTCTCCGGGCTGAAAGCAAAACTGGAGAGGATGGGAACCAATGTCTCCGTAGCTCCGGGTGTTGCTAATAACAAGTTACGGAACGGAGTAGAAGGTAGCTCTGGTATATCTGTGATAAGGAACGGCGAATCCTTTAAACTTGCAAATATTGCCGAGGTTAAACTTAACTTCGAAGATACAGTTAGAGTTCGACCCAAACCTTCCTGTGTAGTTAAACCTATTGTTAAACCTGTTCAAGTCAAACCCTCAGCGACAGTTCGCCCTCTAAACATCCAGGAGGCGCTGCTCAAGGAGAAAGAGGAGAACGAGGAGCTCAATGGCATTGCTTCTGCTGATAACTCTCTTCATATTGAAGATTCTCTCCAGGTAGTTCCAGGAACATTAGAACCTGATCACAAACCAAACCTAAATGAAATTATTTCTATCTCTGATTCTGAGTCAAAACAGGAACCCGATCTAGTTAAAGAATCTATGCAAACGTCACAAGAACCCGCCGAAACCACGGCGGGAAAATCTCCGAAAACTTGCGAAAAATCTACGACATCGATGAGTTTAGAGCTCCCGGAGATAGAAACCAAAGTAAATCCTGATCCCGGTATCGTGGTCACTTCAAAGCCTCACACTAATGGGACGATTTCAGACACAGAGGATCAGTTTAACTCTGATATAGTCTGCCCACATGGAAACCTAAGAATAGAAGAACGATGTAAACAATTAATATCTCGTGAAGTTTGGTTCAAGCTCTGTAGTTACTTTCACAATCCAAAAACCTTTCAATTCGGTAAGAAGCTATTTTTTAAGGTTCAATTATGTTAATTATTTACGATTTAAAAGAAAATGAAAATTTTAAGAATAAGTGATAAGAAAGTCTTGCATTAGTTAAATATTATTTTTGGTCAGGAATTAAACCATGTGCTGAGTGTAGAGAAGAGGAGGGATTAGCTTGTGTCCAGAGAGAAAGATTACGAGAAGAAGCGTCCCGACAGAAGAGTAAACTCTCCGATCTTTTTGCAAACACGGACCGACCCAAGTGGTCTAAACCTACGACTAAACTAGTTTATCTTCTATCATCTAATTTTGTCCTAGCCTGGAGAGGATTCGTCCGAGGGTTAAGTGCTGGAAAGACTGATCTAGGAGAATCCATCACGGATATTAATAACTCCGTCTTACTATGTTCACACAACGGACTTCTCCACGTTCCCCTGATCAACTGGGAGAACGAACCAGACCCTGACGTGGTTATGATCAACGAAGACGAGTGGAGAGTGGTTCAGGAACTGTTTAAGGTTGATGTTGAGATCAAGGTTGACCGGGAGAATACTCCAACAGGACCAATCCTGCATCCTAGTCCAGCTCCGTGTCAGATCTGTGTTAAATCTAGGGTAGAGGCAGAGCAGGAGAGTAGACTCAACTATAGTAATGAAATCATGTTTGTTACATTCCTAACTCAGGACGAGGAGATTCCTAACGGAGATCATGATGATCCAGAGTTCTCGTCCTTGTCAGGTATTTTCAAAGGAAAATGTTATGAAATGTTACGTCACAAACTCTGATTTTCTAATCCCTATATTATATCTTTGTAAACCATGCTGTTGACCTTAGATATTTTAAATTATGAATTCTCTGAGATCAATAAATATACGTGAGACATAATAAAGGTTTACATAATCAGGTTGCAAAGATATAGGGCCGGATTAGAAAATTTGAGATTGTGGCAACTTTTCTAGATTCCATGAACGGAAAAGAAATAAATGTTCTTAGTTTCTGTGGAAAAGGGAGAACTTCGTAATTCTTGAAGAAAAAATGTTTAGATTCTTTTTTAAATATAACTCTTCCAGTGAAAAATGGTTTCATTTTAAAATACAATTTTTATTTGGGCATTTATTTCATTTCGTTTTCAATATTTGGGCATTTATTTCATTTCATTTTCAATATTTGGGCATTTATTTCATTTCGTTTTCAATATTTGGGCATTTATTTCATTTCATTTTCAATATTTTGGCATTTATTTCATTTCATTTTCAATATTTGGGCATTTATTTCATTTCATTTTCAATATTTGGGCATTTATTTCATTTCATTTTCAATATTTGGGCATTTATTTCATTTCGTTTTCAATATTTGGGCATTTATTTCATTTCGTTTTCAAATTTTTTGGCATTTATTTCATTTCGTTTTCAATAACCGCAATTTCAAAATCATTTGAAAATTCTTTGGCAAATGGGATAATTTGTCTTCTTCGATACTTTGATTTAAAAACATAGATTGAATCAGTTTTCTGATTTCCAGGACACGGTCTGAAGATGTGTGGAGGAGGTGGGTACGGAGTACGACGGAGTACACGGAGACGGAAGGGAAGAGGGGAGAAGGAGTTCGTTGTGAACTCGGATACTCTACTCCGGGATCTCAAGTGTCAGGTGAGAAACTTCAAGTTTTTTATCATTAATCAAATCATATTAATATAAAAAAATACATTAAAATTTAAAAATGAACATTTTCTGTTTTGTCTATATATATATATGTATAACGACGAGGTTTAGGCTAAAACATCAAATAAAAGGATTATTTCAATGTAATTTTTATTTGTGTTCTTTTCTGCACTGGATCTTCTTAGTCAGGGCCGGATGAAAGTATTTGAAATCTTAAACATGAGACACATCAGAAATTTATGTAAAAAAATATAATATATATAATNGGAGTAAACATTTTCTAAAGGTAAAACTCATATACTTACTACCATGCTAATTGGAGTAAACATTTTCTAAAGGTAAAACTCATATACTTACTACCATGCTAATTGGAGTAAACATTTTCTAAAGGTAAAACTCATATACTTACTACCATGCTAATTGGAGTAAACATTTTCTAAAGGTAAAACTCATATACTTACTACCATGCTAATTGGAGTAAACATTTTCTAAAGGTAAAACTCATATACTTACTACCATGCTAATTGGAGTAAACATTTTCTTTCTTCTTTCATTTTTCAAACTTCATTTTTTCCGTTACACCTTGATAATTTTTATTATTTAAAAATGCGTTGTTCAGAATTAAATTTTATTTCACTGACGTTTGATGTTCATACACAAATCAAAAGGGTACCCTTATGAATCTGGTAAATGTGCAGTGGGTTCGTGGCATACTGCCATTAAGCATGTTCTGTACCTGGTGGTCCACACTGTCAGCCACCAGTGACACCCCGCTACTTTCTTTAGAAGTAGTCCAGTGAGTCAGGCTCTACCCTAACCTTTCTCAGGATTGATGGGGGGGCTGTTTCATTTATTTATTTATTTTCTTCAACATTTCTGTTTTGGTTACTTTTTAGATCTTGTGATCTCTTTTCTTCACTAGAAATTTATTTTGGATGTTACCGACCAAAAAGTATCCGAAATACTTTAATTTCACCAACATGGCAAAATTAAACCCGTTTCCTTGTTGCTTGGGTGCTCAGTTAGCGTATTTTATTTACTATATTAATTCAAGCTTTTCCTTTCCTATTTCTTTACTATTTGCATACAGGGTTACCCAGAAAGGATGAGACTACAGAGACTGTTTCCTTATATATAGGATTCCCTGCAATATAAACTTATTTCTTTCTTTGCCAGATCATTAGCTATAAGCCCATATTCAAGGCTGAAGACTTGATGTAAACTTGGGATCGTCATATTTAAAGAGGTTTAAATTGTCTTTAAAATCCCATCTTTTGTGGGAAACCCTGTATCTGCAATCTTCATGAATATCTGGTGATGCATAAATTGTATCAAATATTCTTGAGTTTCCTAGAACCATTAAATAAATCCTTGAAAGTTATATCCTCATCTTCAAACTTTTACTTTTCCAATATGTTGCGTCATTTATTTAAAATCTAAACCAACCAACATGAACTCCCTCCTCCCCCTCCTCTCCCCTCCTGTTTTGAAGTATTTATGTAAGTGCACAGTGCATTAGATTCCTTGCAAATCTTCCCTAACTTGAAATTTTTCCCTGACATTTACACAAAAACCAAAGGTATAAAAAACACTACCCAAATTTTTTAGAATTATCCTAGGGGTGGATTATAAATTATTTTCTAACATTTGGTGGAGAAAAAATACAATTATATTGGCTTAAATTTGCAAGTTTCACTCTTATTAAGCTTTCAAACCAAAAGTTGATTTATTTAGGGAGGCAGAGGGTTTCAGGGAGGGGTGGTTTCCTGGTAACATTCGTGTTATTGGGATGTCATAATAGATAGATAGATATTCCATTAAAATCCTTTATCTCTCACTATCAAGCGATTACTCCTTCTTTATAAAATGTCCATCCGCGCATACGTTATTTACATAATAGGAATAATAATTTTTGGTTAGGTATGGGAAATGATTTTAACTATATACTCTTAAAACATCTGTTTCATGTTATATTTTGTATATTATTTTCAATATTTGTTTATGTACAGGCTGACAACAGTGTACCGTGCCCCCCGGAGGACTGGACGAACCCGCACCCTGAGCAAGGATTTAAAGGAACCGGTTTATTGAGCAGCTAACAGTCCAACCCTCCTCCTTGTACCTGACCACAACACTCATCTGCTCCAGTGCCAACATTAATTGTTATTAATGTGTTAATTTTTAGTTCATTGAGCCCCCCCCCCCCTTCCTGATGATATTAGATGAATACTGCATGTAGTGTATATTTACTTTCAGTAATAGCGCACTTGTACTCATTAAGAAGATTTATATCTAAGTCTCCAATATATCTCTAGATCTGAAAGAAAGACAAAAATTGGAGTAAACCATAAATTTATTCAACCCTTCGAGATTACTAATATCTTTGGCACCATGTTATTTACAAATTATTAATTCAATCTTCAGTCATTCCTTTATTGTTGAACGCTCCATGTCTGAATTAGACACAGAAATATATATAATTCAAATTCAGGTTTTGAAAGTTCTTGATCTTTCAGAAAAAAATGTCTGAACTTGAGAAGTTAAAAAAGCTTGAAGCTCTGGTTAGTACTCTCGATGTTTCTGAAAGCGATGAGTCTGATGAGGAATCAGAAGACGAAGAGAAAATATCCCAACCCTTCCTTAAAACTTCGGAACCACTTGTTACATTGAAAATATCTGAACCCGTCCTAAAAACTGCGGAACCATGTGTCAAGGAGAAAATATCTGAATCTGTATTCAAAACTTCGGAACCATCTGGAAAAGGGAAATTATCTGAACCCGTCCTAAAAACTGCGGAACCATGTGTCAAGGAGAAAATATCTGAATCTGTGTTCAAAACTTCGGAACCATTTGTCAAGGAGAAAATATCTGAACCCGTCCTCAAAACTTCAAAACCATCTGGAAAAGGGAATTTATCTGAACCCGTCCTAAAAACTGCGGAACCATCTGTCTTGAAAGAGGACGGAGAGAGTAAAATCCCAAGCGGTCTTGGAGCCAATAAAAGTCTCGGGTTAGAAAATACTGTATCAAGATCCGACACATTATCCGAACTCTTCCTCTCAGTAGATAATGTTGTTAATATTGCGCGACACCGCATAGAAGTAGATGAAGAAGAGGAGGAGGATGATGATGACGATGAAGACGACGAAGAACTAAAGCCAAAGAAAAGTCCGATGAACGAAAAGAAAGAAAGATCACTGGCATCCCTCACAGACATAGTTTACGAGGAGGACGGAAATATTAGTTTTCCGTTCGAGGTTGGAGAGGACAATTTCGAGGATTTAGAGGATATAAAGGACCAGCAGGAATTCATGAATCTGGAAGGGATTGGATCGGACGAGGGCAGGGAATCTGATAATGGTAGTGACATTGAGAAAGTAAGAATTAGTTTAAATTTGTCCAATTTTCATGATCAAGTCATCGGAATTGTTGTGGATATTGTTAATCTTGAACGCTAGATCTCGATATCCAATGTTAGTACTGATAATTTTGTAGATCAATGCTTGATCCTTCAGGCCTTCTATTAAAGTTATCCTTGCAGGGTTAGAAAAACATGTCAAAAATAAAAAAAAATAAAAAATAAAGGAAGAGAAAAAATAAAAACTCTACCAAAAAAAAAATAATGTCCCTTATTTTTAATCTTGATTCACTGGATATTCGTAATTATTAAATATAATATACTCTGTATATTAATGTGATATATGCAACCATATGAATATCATGACAACAATCGGAAATTTTCTTATATACTCCGCCAGGAGTCCTGAAAATAATCCTAACATAAACATAGACAATCACGGGATATCGAAGAGGGCCGGGTTAAATATATATCTAGAGATGTAGATCTGCATAAGATTGAGATCAATGATTGATCCCGAGATTTATAACACAAAAATCCACTTGTTAAAATAAGATTCAAACATAAAAAATTGATCTTTGACTATTTTCATCATCTTAGTTTTTCAGCGGATAAATATTTTTTGAAGACATTGATAAATCGCACGAATAGTAGAGGATATGAGGCTAGACGGGTTTATCTTTTTAAGAATAATTTTTAAAGATGGGGGGGGGGGTAAAAATTTGACATCAAAAGGCAAGTTCAATCCTTTTTAGTACTTTTTACCCAACATTTTATTAATTTTTCCCAAAAAATCTTTTATTTTCACTATTTCAGGACAGGATAAAGTTACTGACTCATTTTTGATTTTATCTAAAGCAATAATTATTTTAATACCTAAGCTACCGATAAATATTGCCGAAAAATGCAACTGAAATTATTATTAAAACGAAATTTGTATTACTATTTTTTCACTACAGAGCTTACATTTACCCACAAGTTGCTCAACCTCCCATTCCAAGTATTTATAAGTACCTTCTGTGCTATGAATTACTAACATTTAAAGCTAAATTATTAAAAAATTATTGAATTTTGGTTCAAAAAGTAAATTGTTGTAAGAAAAAGTGTGGGCATCGTGTATTAACTTTCGGGGTTTATTTAGAACTTTTAAACTTCCAGGAAGCACATTCAAACTCTCTCAATACGAATAATATTTTTTACCATTTGTAGTGCACTGTTCACTGTATATAGCAGGGTGTCTAAATACATTTATTCTTTCTCCATATGTAGAATTAACTATTCCAAATACAAACAATTGATTTTTAATCGAATCCTTAAAAGCATATTTTTTTATTTAATAACTACTCCCAACTTGGAACTCGTGGATTTTTAGATTCATGAAGAAGGTATACATTCTCAATATAAATAATTTATTTCTTTTAAATTTCAGACAAACTTCTCGAAGTTAAGTTGAATTTATTGAAATATTTTACAGAAAACTTAGATTTCAAAATCATTCATTTTCATTTTGATGCTAGCCCGGGGAAATACTTTAAGAAACTTGTAATTTTAACTAGCCTTTTTTATCATTCTCAAATTTTGGCTGATTTTATTATTTAAATTGGCGTTTTTTCAAAAATAATGATTGTCGACATTTTTTTCCGGGGAAAATGTTTGACTTTGTGATTTGCCATACAAAAATTTTGACCAGATGTGGGGGGGGGGGTACATATACATTAATTTGAAATTTCCAAAGTGTAATAAATTTGTGTTTTGCCAGGGTTCAGATTCAGAGAGTGAGAACGATGAAGATGATGAAGATGATGATGATACCCAGGAGGATGATCTTGTTCCAAATGAAGAAAATCTCGAATCTTTAAACGCCAATTACAAGGTTTAAAATTTCAAATTAATTTTAATTTAATTTAGATTTTTCTTTTGATTAAATTTGTAAGTTTGTTATGAAGGATGCATCATGTCGTACTTTGTATCTATATATCAAGTTGTAATCTCTGTTTGGGTGTCTGTTTGTTAGTTTGTACGATCATAACTCAGAATTTTGATTGGAGAACTCGGGAGACTCACGGAAATGTTCTATGATTGAGATTTTGAAGTCGTGGGTACACTTTAATAGCGAAAATTTAGTTTCCCGGTAAAATCGTTCAAGTGCAGGTAAACGGCAGGCGTAACATTTTGTAACCTGGGCAGCGCTAGGTTCCAAAGCTAGTTCTTTAAAAAAATTAGATTTCGAATTACAGTTATTTTGATTTTATTATAACTACAGGGAGTGTGTCGACTGTTACTATTACTGGATACCAACATAGACAAGCCAAATTTCTTTATAGATATATAGAGATTTGAGACTTTTTTACAGTAAGCTCGAAAAAAAAAATTTTTTGGGGGGGGGTTGTGATGAATTATTTTTTTTGGTAATTTCTTTACGTTGGCTAACTTTAAAGAGAATAGAATGAATGATAAAACTTATTATTGAATAAATAATTATCTCATCAATCTTCCTGAAATCGTTAATCACGCTGTAATCTCCCTAAACCTTATTCTACTACTAGGACTACCTGAGTTATGTGCTCGCTAGTTTGACCAAGGAGCTCCAGTCCAACCTTAACAGACAGCAGAGGATCATCACAATCTTAGAGGTATTGGGGTTGTACACGGCCAGGGTTGGGGAGGTTTTGGGGTTGTACACGGCCTGGGTTGGGGAGGTATTGGGGTTGTACACGGTTGGGGAGCTAGAAATTAAGGCGCTAAGTCTAACTTTTCTTGTTTTACTGAACTCTAAAATTTATTTTTGCCTTGAATTTTTAATTACGTATTCTTCTAGGGATTTTGTAAATGCGGTCTTTATTATGCGCCCCCCCCCCTTGCAGGAAGGTTATTGACAAAGGATTTACACATCCAACAAATGTATTGAAGGGACTCAAGACTAAAAAAAAAGAAAGAGAAAGGATTTACACATCCAACAAATGTATAGAAGGGACTCAAGACTAAAAAAAAGAAAGAGAAAGGATTTACACATCCAACAAATGTATAGAAGGGACTCAAGACTAAAAAAAAGAAAGAGAAAGGATTTACACATCCAACAAATGTATAGAAGGGACTCAAGACTAAAAAAAAGAAAGAGAAAGGATTTACACATCCAACAAATGTATAGAAGGGACTTAAGACTAAAAAAAAGAAAGAAAGGATTTACACATCCAACAAATGTATAGAAGGGACTCAAGACTAAAAAAAGAAAGAAAGGATTTACACATCCAACAAATGTATTATTGAAGGGACTCAAGACTAAAAAAAGAAACAGAAAGGACAAAAACAAAAAAGGTCGAGAAAACGAGGAAAAGCAACGAAAAACGATCAAAGAATATAAGTCCTTGATTTTCATATTTGATGTGCTAGATATTCGTAAATATTGATTTTGATAATATTATATATACTCCACCTGAAGAAGTACTGAGAATAACAAAACATGAACACATAAACATGCTGTGCCCCTGTGCGAACACATAAACATGCTGGCGCCCCTGTGTGAATCTTTAAAAGGGGATTTAAGTATTTCATGAGATTTTAATGGAGTACGAATTATAAGGGAGTCCTTCTCGGCTCGCCCTACCGGTTTTTTTCAGATTTTTTATTAGTTTTTTTAGTTTTTTTTTTTTGTAACTAAAGCTACAGATCTAAAAATTGAACTTTGAAAAGCCCTTGAAAAATTGATATAGAAACACGTGTCGCATCTTAATATTTATCCAAAAATATTCATCCATTAATATAGCACCCTGGACACGGGTAATATATTCATCCATTAATATAGCACCTTGGACACTGGAATTTTCTCATTTAATTCTGTAGCGTTCTTGTTTTTAATAAAAAGTTTGAAAGAGAAATGATTATACAGGCATGTGGTTTTTTACTATACCATATTAGATAAAACCAATTATAAAAAATACGTTTCTATTGAAAATATTTTTGCATCCCAAAAAATGTATTTGTTTTGCGTTATTCAGCCTAGTTTTTCCCTGTTTCATGTAAACAATAACCTATTCTGCAGGAATACATGTACGCGGTATTTGTCAACAGACAAATATTTCTTGAATCAAATGAAGTACAGTGTGCAAAGCATGTATAATCGAATTTGTATGGTAGGGCGGGCCGGGTCGATTCCTTCTCCCTGATATTCCATACTCCTTGCCCTTACTTCACTTAAGAGTATAATATGCTGGTCAGTTTATTACAATTTCCAATTTTACATAAACTAATGTACTAAATCTTACCAATATATTTTCTAATATATATTTTTTAATTTGGAAATTGTTATCTAACCCGGGTTTTGTTCAAAGTTTATTCTCAATATAGCAGATAAATTTCTGATTTATGAACTGAAGTAGAATTTATAGCTCCGAGAATGGAATTAATCTTAAACCTGAACCTAGGAGAAGGAATCTGAGCTGAGTAAAGCATCCAGAGCTTCAATAAACCAGCATGTATCAGTTACCAAGAAGACCCTGAGCTTGTTTGGGTATCCGTACTTCAAGGATGTACAGATGTATCACCCTCCACCCAATGCGGATACAATAAGGAAACTATTAAATCTTTTGTTCTTATTCATCCCCATCAGGTACATATACATTAATTTGAAATTTCCAAAGTGTAATAAATTTGTGTTTTGCCAGGGTTCAGATTCAGAGANCCCCCCCCCTGTATGCACCCCTGATTCCAATACGGCATTTTTAAGAGGAAGCTGCCCAAGGAAGTTACGTGCACTTGCCATGTTGAATTATAAGAAGTATATTTTAGGGTTAGGTTAGGTTTAGACACTTTCTGGACCGAGCGCTTAGGCAATGGGGCCGAGCGCCGCGGCCAGAACAGACAGTTTCTCTGTCTTATAATTTATTGCGGAATGCGCACGTAACTTCCTTGGGCGTCTGCCTTTTAAGACGTCTCTTTTGGAAAATATATTTCTGAAAGCAAAAACCCAATCTTTTTGTATTGAAAAAACGAAAATTTAAAGAAAATGAAATAAAGGAATAGAAGCAAGATATTTAAATTAAGATGATACTATTTTTTAATTAATGATTGCAATGCAAGATTTTATATTGTTATTTTTACCAGAAAACGGAATAACACTGAACTAGATGTCTGGATAGAGTTCCCCAGGTAAAGCTTAGATCATCACAAGGAGAAAAATATTATTTTAGATTTTAATTTTTAACTTTTGTAACAATAATATTGATTTGAACTTTGTGTTGTGAATCTCAGGATCAAGCATTGATCTCCATCTTATACAGACCTTCTTCTTCCATATTCTGTGATTGTCTAACCCTGCAGGGATAACTTTTATTGAGGGATCAAGCATTGAACCTAAAACTTTAAAGTCCTCACAATGAATATCAAGATTAAGCGTTAAAGATTAACTTTTTTCCACAAAAATTACGATCTCTAAATAATTTTCCTATGCTTTCTGTTTAGAAGAAACATTTTAATTTGTTTTTTTTGTTGATTTAGATAAATTATATTAGTAGTAGTTGAGCTAATATGTGGATTTTATAAATCCTTAATTTTAAACCTTTTTTTAAAATTGTATGTTATCCCTCGGGTAAACTTATACTTTTACGGTTTCATAAATTTTGTTTATTTCATTGTTTTTATTTATTATTCATTCTTAGAAACCACAATAAATTGTACACAATACTCTTGTTATAATGTTGATGTTGATGGATTGGTTTGGTTTGGCGTTGATTTTGATTTTGGTTTGGGTTTGGGTTTGGTTTAGTTTTTTGTTTGATTTGGCTTTGATTTTGGGTTTGGTTTTGGTTGGTTTTATGATTGTAATATGAGTTTTGATTTGGTTCGGTTTGGTTTGGCTTTGATTTTGATTTGAAATACTTGTAGAATGTGGACCCGTGATGAAAGGAAGAAACTAGTCAACACTGTTCGACGGGAAGCTCGTCAGAAGCTCCTCTGGAAAACCTACGAGGAGAAGGACGAGCTGGACTCCAGGCTCAAGAAGATCGGGTTGAGGGAGCAGGAGAGGCTGGAGCTCGAGGAGAGGTTGGACGAGGTTAACTTGAGGATTAGACAGATCTTTAAAATCCCGGATGAGAAACTGCTGCAGGATAAGGATGAGGAGTATGATTGGATGAAGATTGCTGCACGAGATATGAAGATGAATCACAGTGCTACTGAGTGTATGCTTCACTGGAGAAATCTAGCTCATCCGTCAATTAATAAAGCACCTTGGACACGGGTAATATATTCATCCATTAATATAGCACCTTGGACACGGGTGATAAAAACATCCATTAATATAGCACCTTGGACACGGGTAATATATTCAATATTCATCCATTAATATAGCACCCTGGACACGGGTAATATATTCATCCATTAATATAGCACCTTGGACACGGGTAATATATTCAATATTCATCCATTAATATAGCACCCTGGACACGGGTGAGAAAAACATCCATTAACATAGCACCCTGGACACGGGTGATATAATCATCCATTAATATAGCACCCTGGACACGGGTGATATAATCATCCATTAATATAGCACCCTGGACACGGGTGATATATTCATCCATTAATATAGCACCCTGGACACGGGTGATAAAAACATCCATTAACATAGCACCCTGGACACGGGTGATATAATAATCCATTAATATAGCACCCTGGACACGGGTGATATAATCATCCATTAATATAGCACCCTGGACACGCGTGATATATTCATCCATTAATATAGCACCCTGGACACGGGTGATACAATAATCCATTAATATAGCACCCTGGACACGGGTGATATAATCGTCCATTAATAAAGCACCCTGGACACGGGTAATATATTCATCAATTAATATAGCACCCTGGAGTCTGGGCACGGGTGATATATTCATCCATTAATATAGCACCCTGGACACGGGTGATAAAATCCTCCATTAACATAGCACCCTGGACACGGGTAAAATAATCTTTTTCCTGCCATCTTTTTACTTTTCCTTTTTTCTTCTCCCCTTGTATCTCTCTTCATTTCTTTTCTTTCTCTTTTACATCTTCCTTTTTCGGTTTTCTTTTTTTTCCTTTTTAAATTTGTTTTCTCCCATTCTTCCCTCTCTTTATCCTTTCTTTTCTTTTCCTTTCTTTTTTCTTTTAACTCTTCTTTTATTTTCTTCTCTGCTTTCTTCCGGCCCAACTTTTCCTCTTCCTTTTATTCGTTTTCCATTCCATCTTTCTGTTCCTCCTTCCCACACCCAATTATGTCATGTGGCTTTATACATTACTTACACTATGCTTATTTTTCTTTTGATATTCCCGTCAATTTTATTATTTTCTGATATTTTATCTTCAATATTGTTCTTAACTACCTTGAAGTTTTATAAAAGTATCCATAAATTCCAGCAAATGTGGCAATTACCACCTTGCAAACAAGAACTGCTATATTTAATGGATTGAATGGATTATATGGATTATCTAGAAAGAGAATGGATTGTTTTGATTGCATTTAGAAGAAGGACGGATTGTATGGATTGTATACAAGAAGGATGGATTGTAAAGATATCTAGGAAGAAAATGTATTAAATGGATTGTATCTAGGAGGAGGATGGATTAAATGGATTGTATCTAGGAAGGTACATGGCTTTAATGGATTGTATCTAGAAGGAGGATGGATGGATTGTATCTAGAAGGAGGATGGATTAAATGGATTGTATCTAGGAGAAGTATAGATTAAACGGATTGTATCTGGGAAGTGAATGGATTAAATGGATTGTTTCTAGTAAAAGGATGGATTAAATGGATTGTATCTAGTAGAAGGATAGATTAAACGGGTTGTATCTGGGAAGTGAATGGATTAAATGAATTGTTTCTAGTAAAAGGATGGATTAAATGGATTGTATTTAGAAGGAGAATGGATTAAATGGATTGTTTCTAGAAAGGAGGATGGGTTAAATGGATTGTATCTAGGAAGAGAATTGATTAAATGGATTGTATCTAGGATAAGGATGGATTTAATGGATTGTATCTAGGAAGATACATGGCTTTAATGGATTGTATCTAGAAGGAGGGTGGATTAAATGGATTGTATCTAGAAAGAGGATGGATTTAATGGATTGTATGTAGGAGGAGGATGGATTAAATGCATAGTATCTAGAAAGAGGATTGATTAAATGGATTGTATCTAGGAGGAGGATGGATTACTGAAAAGGTTTGCGGATTCTACTGATGGAAGAGAATGGGATTCGATAGCTAAAGAACTGGGAACTAATAGAACAGCTATAGCCTGCTACACAAGGTCATGTATAATCTATATATGCATACTTTGCTTTCTGTTTCTCCGTTTGTATCCAATAAACGTCAAAACGGCTGAACCGATCGGGTCAAAATTTTTGTGGGACCTCACAGGACCCCCTAGGGAAGGTTTATGGATGTTGAGCATTACAAAAATTTGCGAAGCGCCCTAAAAGCCTAGTAAAATAAACATTAACTAAATAGATAATTAATTTAATGAATTTGAATTTAATGTTTCAATATAGAATTTAAGTAAACTTCTAAACACGCAGTGGATAATAATCTGTATATCTTTGCAACCCCATGTCATAAACCCTAAATATTTGAAAATATAAATTCTGTTAGATCTAATAATCGAAGTTTGAAATATCAAAGAATTACACTATCAGATAAAGGGATTGGAAAATTTTAGTTTGTGGCAAAGACTCAATTCCTTTGATTTCAAAAATCCACATTGTTAGAACCAGGAGTTTATTTTACGTTTGATTTCTCTAGGTTTATGCAGAAGCACAATATTAAAACAAACTGCAGGTCTTGGACAGACAGAGAGGATGAGAGACTTAGAAGACTTGTGGCGCATAGTAGGGTTTATAACTTCATTCCTTGGTCTAAAATATCCTACTATATGGAAAGGTATGATATGGAGTAGGGTTTATAACTTCATTCCCTGGTCTAAAATATCCTGTTCAAAAAATCAGTAAATCCTAAAGAAATGTTCATAACCTGTAAATGGATCCGCATCCAAATTCAATGGATCCTAAGCACTGCTTATATTGTTTAGGAGAACGAAGGATCAATGTTATCAGAGATATACATACAGTCTTAGAGAAACAATTAGGAAACCAAACATAAACATTAAACACTACTAAAGGGGGGTTAATCAAAGGGACGGTAATGTTCAAGTGATCATCATTTAAAAAAAAAATTAAAGTAGCAAACCCGATTCACAACAGTACCTTGTTCAATTAAGGATTCAGGAAATATCTTTATTTTCCATCTGAAAATTAATCATTCTCATCTGTGGTTCCTCTTGTTGATTTATGCTGCAAAGAGGCTGGAGAAAACGGTCAGAATTTAGTAATTGAAACCTAAAAAGGCTGGGGTTTTTTTGCACTTGCACTCTCATTGTTGACACTACCACCTTAAAATATTTTCACTTTTTATGAAATAACGTTTTTGTAACTAAAGCTACAGATCTAAAAATTGAACTTTGAAAAGCCCTTGAAAAATTGATATAGAAACACGTGTCGCATCTTAATATTTATCCAAAACAAAAAAAATATTTTTTACAGTTTTTACCCTTTCTGTGGCATTATTTTTCAAACCTTCCTATCACCCAAAACTATTCAAGTTTAATTTTTTTAATGAGCTGGCCTTGAAAATTTGGGCTATGAACATGCATTTCAACCCATTACCTACTAAAGACCTTTTTCTATTGTGGGGGGCGTAGGACAGCCCCCTCCCCCCAGGTTGTACATAGATTCAGACCCCTCAGCCTTTATAGAGTTAAGATAGAAGAACGAAGATAACTTATTCCTTGTTATCTAGATAAAGGTTTAAAGGGTACTGAAGTGAATCGAACATTCCAATTTTTATAAATGAAGGTTCGTTTGAAATTTCGTGTACAGCCCCTTTAAGGAAAGTGTACACTGTACATTGATAACAAACAGGGATATAATTCGAATTTATTAAGTATTAGTAACTATTTTTATGTCAATCTGATTTTGAGAAAAATATGTGGAACTGAACTAAAACTGTTTCTACAAACATAGGATTAACATAAGATTAGTGTAATCCACTCAAAATATTATCTTTCTATTACTTAAAACTATTTTTAACAAAAAATACCAAATAAATAGTTGATTTAGTATCTTATGTCTTCAATGTCCAAAAAAAACTGTCAAGAATGATGTCAAACTTTATTTCGCTTTTAGCTTTCCATTAAGAGGATCGATGGAGGTGCAACAGTGCATTTATAAATCTAACCTTAACTCGGGACAAAATAAAATGTACTTTTAGGAAATGTCACGGTATCGATTTTAACACAAAATGTATTTTTTTCAAATATTTATCTTTTTTTTTAAATGTCGTGAGAACTGAGAAGAAAATTTCGACTTAACTTTTGTGTTCTATGTTAATCGTTTGTTTTCAGACCAAAAATTTCCTAAACACAAAACAGTTATACCATAAAACCGTGAAATAGCAACAAGACTGTAAGACACAATATACAATTTTTGATAGTTTAATGAACATTAAATCCTCAAGTTGACTTTTATTCTACTGGTATTATTTGATTGCTTCAACTTCAAAAACACGCATTGCTTAAATGTCGTCTTCCTATTGACACAGCTTTTTGAGACCTACTGTACATTGTAAAAGTACAAAACCCCATTTTGTAAGCAACATAACAGAAAAGTCTGCTGTATGTATGCAGGGATGGGTTGGAAAACATTTGTTTTATGTTTGCTCCTGCTAGACACGGTTCCTGGAGATATTATGAGGAATGGCTTCTGGTTCTAGGAGAACGACTCTACGGAAGAGATTGGTCCAAAATTACAGAGCTAATTCCTTCCCGAACCCCTATGCAGGTAAATCCTGTTCAATGAACCGTCAACATCAAATGTGGTGTAAATTTAAAGTAAATTTTTTTAAAAAAATTGTAAGCTGCCGAATTATTCAGAAGCAATTCTGAATTAAAACATTTTTCTAAGTGTCTTCTTTACACGAATAATTTCTTGCAATTGTTTTTAGCTGTCGCCGATTAATAATTATTAATAAACCATCCAATTTGATCAACTACAGTTTACAAATTTGTGCTTAAAATCGTTTGAAATTCGTATATTGCATATACGCTTAGGCGGCTACGAGTGCTGACCCATATTTAATTGAATGCTTGGTTGTCTTGTCCTTTAACAATAATAACATTATGCCAGAGACTTAACCTTATGGTTGAGAGTGTAATCCGGTTGATTTAATGTGATATACGGGATAGACTGAAGATTCTTCAATAGATAATTTAAAACAAAATGCATAAAAGGATTGATGTTGACCGGAAACCGCTAGGGGGTAAATAAACTGACTGAGCCGCATAATTTTAGATGAAAAATGTTGATCAATGGGTTCCTATGACCTTGTCTTTTTGCAGGTTCACTGCCATTGGAACAATCACTTGAAGTGCGACTACAGACCCTGGACCCAACAGGATGATATCCTTCTTCTACAGAGTGTCAAGCAATTTGGTCTTAAAAGCTGGGCGAAGATTGCGGAGAGGTTTAACGACAGTGGATCTCGGAGCCGAACCCGCTGTAGGCAGAGGTTCAATGGTATCTTTAACCTGTTTAAGAAGAACCCAGAGAACTTGCATGAAACCTTGTCTCAGATGGACACTAACAGGAACGCTGCAAAGAGGAGAGACCGCGTGTTTGATGAATTAGATAAGAAGTTCCAGGATTGGATTACAAGGATAGACGAGGAGCCAGTAGTATCAGATATACAGATTGCTAAAATAAACCTGGAGGAGGAGACGTCTCTTCCTAATGGAACGGTTGTGAAGAACTCTCTCCTAAGCAAGTTTGTCCGACACATACAAACTTTGCTACCTGAGATTAAACCTAAACCCCTAGTTCCGCTTCCTCCTCCCCGGCTCCGAACCCTTCCTGATCAAGAGGATGCAATTCATTCGAAACCTCTCAATCTCTCAAAGCTTTTGAGAAAAAAGCGTGTAGGTCGTCCTAACAGATTGAAACCTAAACGTGAAGTGACCCGGGTTAAGTTGGGTTTGGAGAGAACGACTGTTATGGATCGGGAGATCAGTAGATTTCTAAACCCCAGTTTTACAACCAGACAGCGTAGATACAAGGTTAATCTAAGCGAGGAGGAGCTGGGCTTTATTAATATTGCAGCGAGGAACCTGGACGGAATCCTTGATTTCTCAACCTTTAAATCAAACCTGAGTCCAGAGAAGATTAACGCGTTAAACTCTGGAGAACGCCAGGTGCTGGAGAGCTACTGGTTCCAATCAGATATCACTGAGGCTGAGAGTCCTGAGGCAAAGAAGGTACGTCGGACGACCTACGGTAGAAGATCCACGGACGGGATCGATGGAGAAGGATCGAGGAAAGAAGCTGAAACTGTGAAGACGGATCTGTTAATGCCGACCATTGCCTCGCTCAGGGCTTTTAGGGGGATCCTGCTTCACGCTGATTACACGGCGGAGCTCGCCAGGGAGGCGGAAGCTGACCCACTTGCTATAGTGCGAAATTATTGTGCTGGGAACACCAAGAAAATATTAAGAACCGGAGTAAACAACGTCGATATAATTCGACGTGCCAAGGTTGGACAAACCTTGTTTACTCCGCTCATGAATGCATCGGTAAGATTATTTTAGTATTATTCTTTTCATCTTGGAATAGTTTCTATTTTCCAGGAATTTTTATGTCTATTTTAAGCAACTTTTATTTAAAATTTCTCATTCTTTTTTAATTAAAATTATTGTAAATTCCTATAAATTAATTTCAATAAACCTTGAATTACATTGAAGGCTGAGGAGCAGGAGAAGATGAAAGATCAGGTTGAAGCAGATCAACGGTTGGTTGATAGGATCGTGAAACTGTTTTACTGGCCGGCCAAGATGTCCGTAACGACCCCCTCGGAACCCGAGGTTCTCTTTCAGAACGAGAACGGAGAGGAAAACTTATCCGCAACTGATCCATACGAACCTGCCAGCATGGCGAGTTCTGTCGCCGAGGATACCCCGAGCTCCAGGGCTCCTGATCCTGCCACCTGTCAGCTCTACGCTAACTTACCGTCAGTTCACTCGGTTTACTCCAATGTAAGTTCTCCAGCTACCCCTGCTACTAGAACCTATTCAAGAAAACGTCCTGCATCCAAACTTGGGTTTAACTTTCAGGATCTCTTGACCCCGTCTAAACGTCCAACCCTAGAACAGAATGGAGGATCCTCTCAAAGATTGAATACCTCGGGTTCAAGTTTGGCTGGAATACAACCCTTGTCAGCTCCTTTCCGTCCTCCTTCCTCTCCTCTAGGTCTTAAACCTATACAAAATCTTCTCCCTACACCCAACACACCTCAACAGTTTCGAGCTCCAGCAGGGGTTCAGCTTTCCAACCTAAGATTGGTCTCGGAGCTTCCAGCTCCAGGTTCTCCAGTTCGACTAGTTAAACCAGGAACCCGGAGAAACAAGCCTGGTGAAACCGACTCGAAAATGTGATAAAGATCTAGTAAATATATTCTTTTGATAAATTGTTACAAAACCGTCATAAACATTTTATTTATTATGGACCAGAGAAGATGAGTATTTATTAAGGATTAGAAAAAAAGAAATCAAGAAAGAAATCTGTGGCACGAATTTAGTATGTATTTGGTTGAGAAACGGGTCGGATTAGGATAGGTTGGTGGTCTGGATTACAGATCTATAGCTCGTACGGAAACTTGGAAATACATTTAGATTTAAAGGTTTGGAGTAATTTTTCATCAAGTTTTTGTGTTTGCCTGGTTTAGATTTATAAAAATCTAGATTAAGAAAATTATACAAGGTTGGATAGGATCAATGGATAAGGATACGAGAGTTATGTGAAAATACATTTTATCTATTTTTGGTTTGCTCTGAGGGATTGCATCTTCTATAATCCCGCATCTTTTCTTTGATGTTTAAATTCTTACCAATTTCTATCCCTTGGAGCTTTTAAACCCTGGATCTTCAAGATCATCCCTCTTCTCTCACAGTATCATAGGATATCCCAGGGTGCTCCAATAAACACGAAGAGTTCTTATAGTACGTATCTAAGCAATAATAGATGTAATCTTGGGATTTTGAAAATGGAGTCTGCAAGTTTTGTTCCTAAAGAGTTGACGGACAAATAAAAAGACTAGTCCAAATTTAAATTTATTCATGCTTCAAATTAATATTGTTCGTAAATCTAATCAAAATTATACAGTAAGAGGAAACGACAAAGACCCTCATCATTTTTCGTAATGTATAATATAAATAAAATATATCTTCTTTGACAAAACTTTGAATATCAAAAATACATAGAGATATAACTTCAAGCCGTTACTTGTATACTCATGCTTTGATTTATTATTATGAACTGCACGTTTTATTTTTATGGGTTTTTGTTTTTTAAGTACCATGAAAAACAGTTAAAATTTTGGAAACTGAGATCTGAATTATGTAGTTACCTCATCAATTGTTAAGCACTTTCAGATTGTAGACACGCACAGTAGGAACCATAAAACTATGGTACCGGGGGACTTCAGTTAAGTAACCTAATTGTTATAACGCAGATAGATTTATCAGCTATAGTTTGAAATCGACTATTTAGATAATAACTTGAGTATAACAGTAGTCTTTCTATTCTACCGCGTATGAGTCCCATTGTACCAAATGTAGAAGACCGAATTTAAAGGGGGAGACCGGCTATGTAACATATTTGAGCTGATAGTGCAGTATTGTAGAGAAAACTTCAAATTCATTTGATACCAAAAAGACATTATTTCGGTGTACAGGAGCGTAAAGTCGTTTGTAATATCTCACCAGTTGTTTCAGCCAGCAGAAGAAACGTTTTTTTAATTATTTAATAAACCAGACAAAACTTATAAAAAAGATTAATTTAGAACTAATTTTATGTTTAGAAACATATTTCTTAAAAGAAGTTATCGATGAAAGCCAGTAGTAGAACCGTAGAATCGACAACTTCATTAACACAATTACCTTCGCTGTTTCTATAGTTTTTTTCCCCAGATTTCTTCAAAATGTCGTTTTCACAATTAAAATGAAGAAAACTTCCAACAAGCGACCCTAGCAAGAAACCTGCGAGATATTTAAATTGATTTTAATAACTTAATAACTTGATTATAGAAGTTAAATATTTTCCTTAACCTGTTTGTATAAATGTAACTAATTAGTAAAATAGTATTGTAGAAAACAAATGCTGTCTGAAACAACTGGTGAAATATTGCAAACGACTTTACTCACTTATTTAAGAATTGTATCACCGTAAAAATGTCTCATTGGTATCTATTAAATCCTAAAGTTTTTCTCTACAATACTGCATTCTCAGATCAAATATGTTACATAGCCGGCCTCTCTCTTTAAGAGTTCTTTAAAGTCTTACATTTTCTTGGACCCCCTTTATACAGGGTACCCACAACAGATGAGATTACAGCGACAACTACAGAATTTGCTCAGTCTTAATTCCAGTAATTTTGCCTATTATCCTGTAAAGAACTAAAGCTGAGAACAAGTGCTTTATAGTTCTAGATTGTACATGTCTATGGCTACTAAACAGTTAAACTGTAAAAGTAAATTATAGAGGTAAAAGCCAAGGTGTTGCGACCCAGTCGTAAAAATGTATGCAACTTTTAGCAGCAATCTTTGTGTGATTCTTACTTACATTATTCACTGCAGCTGTAAACATGTTTCCTTCACAATTAAAAATTATAATAAAACCTGCAAGTCATTGCATCCAAAGAGTTAAAGGTCGTTATGTAACTAGGGTTTCCAATTCTTCCAATCGGAAATGCGCGAAACTAAAAGGCTCGCAATTAAAATCCACTTTCGTTGAAAATCTAGTCTATTTTTATTTGTAGGATTAGACGGGAAGGGAGTATAATTACGACGTGAAGGTTTATCTTTTTTTCTAATCTAAAAATATACTTTTAACAGAATATTAAATAAGTCGGAAACCTAGATAAATTAGCAAGCTTTTAGGTGAAGGGATCTGAAGAATGAATTAAAGGGAGTGACCGGCTATGTAAGGTAGTTGAACTGTTTGGATTCATTTGAGACATATTAAACTTTTTAAAGATCTGTAAATCCTGAGTTTGAGCGCAAATTCGACGTTCAAAACTCTGGGGGTGGATACGTTTCAGAATTATTTTTTTAAAATTATTAAATAACGACAACGAAAAATAAAGTAAAAATTATACAGTAATCTAATTAGATGGTTAGGAACATATTTCTCAAAAGAAATTTGTCAATAAATCAATGCTAAAATCGATTATTTCGTTTTCATTATTATATTGAATTTCTAATTTTCTTTGAATTTATTCGCAGATTTCTTCAAATTCTTCAAATGTCGTCTTAATAATTCTAGAAAATCTGCGAAAACTTTGTGAATAATGAGATAATAGAAACTAATAATTGAACAAGATTACTTATTTTCGATGATAAGATTAATTTTTATTTCTCAACATGTTCCTATACATGACGTCTGTAGTTTACTGTAGAACTTTTTTACATTTTATGTCGTCGTTATTTAATAATTTAAAAAAACTAATTCTGAAAACGTATATACCCCCAAAGTACATCGAATTTGCGCTCAAACTCAGGATTTAAAAATCTTTAAAAAGTTACTCCATTTAATTCTGTTTTTTTTTTCATCTTATAAATCTCGTTCTGTGTGACTAACCCTGTAAACTCGTCCCATCTTGGTTCCAGATTTAAGTTCTAAAATAACAGTTTGTGTGCCAGATATATACGTGTGTGTTAGCACTAGCTAATGATGGGAAGTGAATGGTAAATGTAATATTTAATAGATTAAATACCTCTTTACTTTTTATCTTTGGTTTGCTTGTAAACCTTTATGTTCTCTATTGTGCATACAAACATTTCAGTCACAGGGTGTCTCTTTCTGGTGTGCAGGCGATTTACAGGGTGATATATTATGGGACCCATGAAACAATAGGAAGACGAGTGTAAGACTTAATTTTTGATAGATCCAAGGAGCATGAACCAATGCATTTACTTGCTCAGACTTTACTTAATAGGTTAATTTTCAATCTACATGGTGAAACACTTAAGATTGTCGTCGTCGTGAACCCCAGAGTTTTTTTTTTACACGGTGACCCAGAAAATCCAAGAGGTTTGTCTCCAGGGTGACCAAAAACGGATTTCTGTCTCCAGGGTGACCAAAAAACGGATTTCTGTCTCCAGGGTGACCAAAAAAACGGATTTCTGTCTCCAGGGTGACCAAAAAACGGATTTCTGTCTACAGAACAAAATTACCTCTGAGTGGGTCACTTGATTATCCTTCGTTGAATAGCAAACCTTGTACACGAAAGTAAAAATGTGAGGTTCATAGCAGGGAAGCTAGTGCTCCCTCGCTGCAAATAATAACTATCTTGAAGTGCAGGAGTGGTAACCTAGGACATGCAAGTAGAATACTCAACGCTGAGGTTGCAATTTACAATTAAGCAAAACAAAACAAACGGAGAGAGGGACATCTATACAATGAAAGGGTGATCGTGCATATTCTTAAAATGGCGCAAAGACAGCGACTCGTAAACATTCTTTCAAAAGCAGCGCCGTAAATGGACGGGAAAAGGGAGGCAAGAAAAAGAGAAACTGCGGACGTGCAGATGGAGAAAGGAGAAAAAACTTAAAAGATGAACATTTGAAATTATATATAATTATATGTTAAATATGCCTCGTAACATTTTATTTTACAAAAATTATAAGAAATTAATTATAAAAATATTGTAAAAAAACTTTTCTTCCAATTTTGGCTTTTCTGCGAACTTCTTATCTATATATTTTACATTCCGAAAAATGTATAGGACACAGTACTACTTCTTAGGTCTAGCAACCCTCATGCATCAAATACATTATGCAGTCTTAGATCGTTCTGCAGATCTGGACACCCCGAGTCAGTGACAAAAACCTCAGACAAGTCACATTTTAAGTTTTGTTTTCAGGATTTTAAATCTGTAAATTTTTTACTTTGATTAAAAAACAATACCACTGAATAAATTTAGCAGATTATTCTGGTTAATTTTTGGATTTTCCAAATTTTGAAGAAAAAAAATCTTTTTATGGAGTAGTAATTAATTCCTTACCGGCCGTAAACCAATCTCAAGTTATAATAATTTGACTTTTATTAAATAAAAAGAAGAAGACCAGCTAAATCAATGTATAAATACTATAATATAATGTTGATTAAAAAACTACACTCCAATTTAGTTATTACCCAACAGCTCGGTGACCCTGCAGCCTCTATCATCTCACGTAATATATAAGAGAAATTGCAAGTAAAGTGCAAAATGTCGCATTATAATTTTGCGCGAAAAGATTGATAGATAGTCTTCATGATTTGAAGAGAAAACTGGAGGATACGAGACAAGAGGGTTAAAGCACTTTCATTTAAAACCACTCGAGGAAAAATATTAAAATAACAATAAAAAGATATTTTTTATCTTCGTTCTCTGCCCTACCCGTAACTATGTGTTAAGTTCCTGGTTCCTCGGAGTAATCTAACTCCGAC